AGGCTAAGGCACATATATACTAAACAAGGGCAGAAAGACCGATTGGGTCGATAGCCTTTTTCTGTAGGAAATAAAGATTATTTATATATATGAAATAATAGTTATTTAAACCACAGAAAAATCCCAGCTTTAATTCAAAATACATACCTAATACAAAATTACCTATACATTTTATTGAATACTGTGTAAATGTAGTGAACATAGTAACTTGTGAGAAAAACCAATTAGTAAATAAATCGCAAATTAGTTTTAAAAAGTTTAGTTAAAAATGCAGTGTTATGGACCATATATTGATTTAAAAAATATATAATACAAATAGGTTTTTAGATTATAAAGCAAGGCGTAACTAAAGATACTATTAAAAACTGTAAATTTGGGACTGAAAGTATTTTCATCTAAACATCATTTTATAAGCAGTTAGCCATACTTGGGATTTGAGCGGTTTGCTGAGTACATCTACTGAAAATTGATAGTTATAATTTTACGATTTGATACGAGACATAATTATTGTTAACATATTTGGTTACTTTAATTGTAATTTATACAGGTTACAATCGACAAAGATCACTTGCGCTTTTAATTTAAAAAATGTGCAATATTTCAACAGACAAACAATACAAATCTTCATCAGTCGAAGTAGAAAATACAATCGAAACTACCAAATTTTACAATTGAAACTTTCAAGAATTTCAATATTTTTGTCTCGGAAATGATTTGTATGATTTTAGGCAAAGTTAAGCGTTAATGCATAGTTAAATTAAGAATGCTGTCAAAATTTTGTTTTACCTATACGCTTTCTGGCTCTTTCTGTTTTTTGAGCATTTTATAGGCTGGGCACGTCCCGATCTTTTATCGTACCGTTGCTTTTTAACAATATATATATAAAAATACATTTATGAAAATGAGTATTTTGTCTTTGCAAACTGAAATATGCGCTTTTAAATTATAATCGTAATTGTTTCTTAGCAAAAGAGCTCCCAATTCCAGAAGAAAAGAAACCTGCTATATTTGCAGAAGCACACAAAATCGACCACAAGTAATTAATCTAACATTTTCTTTACGATATAAATATACATACTCAAGCTTTCGTGTATAACTTCTGCAAAATAGAAAAAAGAGAGGAAACAATCGAATTGGAAGGAGAATCCTAAATAAATTCAGACTATACATTTCTATGACTATTATTTAATCGTTTAGTTTAATCATTTGCTGATTGATTTGAAATATTGCGTGTATGTAGGTTTCTATGTGTGCAACTGTTCATAAAATATTTTCATCTTTCCAATAAGATTTAAATAATCATACTTATATTATTGTTTTTAATGCTAAACTTACATGTTCAAAATCATGAAATATAGTTCATGCCTGTTGCTTCGCACGAAAACAAGAACTTTTTGAGAAAAAGTTACGTCTTTTGTTAATTTTTTTTTAAACCTTTAGCCTTTTTCTTCTTAATTTTTCACCTGCTCTTAGTTTACGTTAATTTTTTTATAAAAAATTAAAGTATTTTCAAATAAAAAGTCAATGACAAGTAATCAACCTTAAACACCGCGTCTGTTCGAAACTTATCTTACATTATTAACGTGAGAAACAGCTACAGATTATTTAGAAGTTCTAAAATGTTTACTTCTGCTTTATAGAAGTTGTCACATAGCCTAGTACTAGTCAAATAATTGTGCAAAATTTAGTATGAAATATCAGCTTGCTACAAGAATTAACAGACACTTTCTTTATTTGCAAACAATATTGTCGCTAAACGCATCGTGGGAATATATCTGTTTACTTAGGCATTATGGTTGTAAAATTAATAAAGAATATGATAGTGCGTTCTATCAATCAAACCATCAAAGTACAAACCTTCTGTTGAAAACACAAAATGTTTTTTCGTAACCAACATTGGAGATCTCTAGTGGTTTATTGAGTTTGTTTTAAATACATTGAATATGCAATCAATTGCTTACCTCGTATAAATAAAAAGAATCAATGGAAGTTCCATTATCACTTCTCGTTGCACCACTGGGAGAGACCCAAATGCATGAGCAATTCTCCTTACAGTCTTTAAAGTCGGCGAGTTCCTCAAAGGCTTTCGAACAGTTTTTCAAATACATCTTCCTCTCACTTTATAGCTCGCATCTGTTTCTTGTGTTGATTTCACGATGTAATTACTCACAGAAAAGTTTCGTTCTTAACGATAGAAAGTTTTTGTTTGTCGGACCAACTGGCCAAGTTTCGCCACAATGCGAAAAAACTTTGTTTTCCCGTTTTGACAACGGAATTAATGTGGTCGGTAAGTAAGAAAAGAACGGCGTAAAAGCCGGAAAAACAAATATCAACAGCGGAAAGCAAATGAATCGCAGTGATGGAAATTGGAAACAATCGCCGGCCGGCGCGCGAAATATTCGCGATAGCTGAAGAGCACCAACTTGCTGCCTCTTTGATCTGCACGACGCGCCAACCAGAAATGAAGCGCTCGGCTCTGCGAAAAAGAGTTTGTCTCTGCTTTTTGAATTTGTTGAGGCTGTTTGGAAAAACATGCGCAAGCTGAGCACGGGGTGACTTATTTCCGTTTCATCTCTTGTTAAATATTTGCTAATGAATCACCAGCTAATCGCTACGCTACACTGCAAAATTTACGCTTTTTTGATAGAGTGCCAACTTTGATTAGCCTTGCCTGGACCGAACGGGATAGATATGAAGCTGATTCACAAACATTTATTTATTAGTCTTGTATAGTCTTATTTAACTCGCGATCCGTGGAAAAGCTATTTTTACTCTATTCCTGTTTAAATTAGATAGAGGTACTGTTTTTTTTCCTAAATTAAATTAACTGTCTTAAACTCAAAAACGAAGTATTTTTTGTATTTTATAATTATTTTCGAACATCTGCGCTTGAGGATATTCAAAAATATATATTAACTTCCCATTTAATATTCATATAAATAGGTTGATAATTTACGTAGGCAAGTTTCAGACAATTTCCTAATCAATTACTTGAAAAAGGTCATTTTCAAATGGGTATTTATATATATAATACAAATTTTAGGTCCATTCGAATGATTGATACCTACTTATATCCCAGGAAAGCTGGTCAAAATACGACTTTCTTCTGATGGCTATAGTTTTCAAATGCCTTGGTTTTTAAGCTTGGCACTAAATGCCATAAAGTTAAGGTTTTGTAGATGTTTGTGTAAAAATATGTTAAATAACATTGCCATTGTACTCACAAAGGTTAAGAGTGCAATTGAATTTCTAAACTTTAAACACTTAGTAGGTAACAGTCATTAATATATCTTGAGAGTTTTTAATTTGAAAGCGTATAGGCCAACGTCAGGTTGAAGGTGTAAACGTGCTTTTTTTGCTTTAAAACATTTGTTTAAAATAAATTGAAAATGAATTGCATAATGTAATAAAACAAATTGCAGTGGAAGATTCATAGAACATAAGAGAATGAAAAATAATGCCGGGAAGACATACGTTAACAAAAACAAATTCGACTAAAAGATCTAAAAAGATAAAAAATTAAGAGGTTAATAACTTTACACTAAAATCTTCACTTTATTCAGGATACTGCCAACAAATTAAACCATTTTTTTTATATTTTATTTTCGAGCAGATTTTTCTCATTGTCTTATTCTATTTATAAAAGTAGGGAATAACTGAAATAATATAAAACTTTTCTAATTATTTTCCTATAAATTCACTTAAATATATTCAAAAACAAGTAGTAATATTCCCCATTAATATTCATATACATATAAATAGACTTAAGAAGAGTAAACGTAGCCTTAAGTTTTAGACAATTTTTTAATCAATTCGTTAGAAAAAGTTCATTTTCAAATCGCTGTACCCCAAGAAAGTTTTGATCCAATCGAGCATGGCCAAAATACGACATTTTTCTGAAAACTGTAATTCCCAAATACTTGTTTCTTTAAAAATGATTTTCTGGCATGAAACCTTTGTTTAAAATACTTAAATTAAATGTGAATTGCATAATATAAACATATAAGTTGTGTGTAAAAATAGAGGTTGTGCAGAAAAAACCAAAGGAAGTTCTATATGACATAAAAGAATGAAAAAGAATGCGGGGAAGACATACGTTAGAAAAAAATAAGTTAGACAAAAACATCTACTTAATCAGGAGGTTAATAATTTTACTCTACACTCTTCAGTTTGTTCATAGTACTACTGGGGGAATTGGAAAGCTCCTTAGTTGGAAAGCAGTCATAACACTCAAATGTGAATTTTTCTTCCCAAAAATTTGATTAATAACCCAAAAACGGAAATTATTTAATTTAGAAGCTCCATAGATCCAAAGCAGTTAAAAAACTCGCAATAGTTTTTTATTTTTTTTACCGAAAATTCCATAAACCAGGCTACCGTATTCGGTTGTACTGGAAATTTTTTGAAGAGAACAAATAAAATTTCAATGCAATTATATCTACAAAAGGCAAATGTTTAATTGAAACATCTAAGCATTTGCGCAGCTATATTCATATCAGAAAATATACTATTTGTTGTATTATTTAGTAAAAATGTACAATTTTTCATCAAAATTTGTTGTCGATTGTTTCCAAGAAAATGTATTGCGTTGTCTGTTTGTTATTCTAAATATAATTGCTTATGAGCAAGTTATTGCTTAATTAATTATTATTTCTAACAAATAATTTAACTGAATGTTTGAAGTACTAAGTTTCGCAAAACCAAAAACAAGTTAGTCGAAGATTTTAGTTAGTCAAGAACAAATACGTTCACGGAATTTTTGTTCCATTTGTGCTAGTTGTACTTACGTTAAATTGTGTCAGAAACCTCAAAAACTGTTTTGCGGAAAAATGAAAAATTCTGCTTTCTGAACTTGAAAATTATGTTAGGAAGCAATTAAATCACTGCTGTAACTTCCAATGGAAGAGACTGTAACTTGGAATTTGAAATTCACAAAACGGCAGACTAACAAATATTACCGCTCTAAACGATTTTATTATTCTTACCTCCTTTTATTTCACTTATTTTTTCCAATGTTCAAACTTTTCAAGTTAAAATATAAAGATAAAGTCTAATTTGCAGGTATTATATAAATTACGAAATAAAGTTCTTAATAGCTCATAAACCCTGTATCAAATTCGTTTTTCTTAAACATTATTGAAAATTTTAAGTTATAAATATTACTGACTCTTTTTTTCCAAGCAACGCCGATTGATTACTTAATGAAAAATGTTCCGTTCGGAAACAGAAATTATTCGAATACATATATTTAAAATGAGACCGAAAGAAGAATTAACGTTTACGATTTTAGATGAGTTACGACAAAAAACCGGTTTGATGGAATACATTTTATTTAAATTTGCGGCGTATAAGCAAAATTCCGACAAAATTCTCGACTTTTGTGACAAATGCAAAAAGTGATAAATTGCTTTATTTCTTTGGTTCTATAAATTATGAGAGAAGTGTATACAGATGATGTGTTCATTTCAGTTAACCTCATGTAAAGTAGTAAATATAAAGCTAGTAGTTTTGGGAGTCGGGTTTTCTGTCTAAACCCAACTGATGAGAGCGAATAGGCTCGAAATCCGTCCTGGAGGTGCCTGAGATTAGCACATTTCGAGATCTGTATTTACTTACATCAAACTTTTATCGGCTCTAATTACACCAAAAGTTTCATTTTCTCTTCATTTCAGTAATTACTTATTTATGAAAAATCAAAACTTATTTAGACAAAAAATAATACTCAATATGAAACATGAAATGCGTTTTGAATGCGATATAACAATGAACACTGTAAAAGATCAGAATGCGTTTCTCAATATTGGCTAACAAAGAACAAACTTGTCTCAAACTTTTTAAGAAAATTGTAAAAGTTATATAAAAAATTCTTAATTGTGGATTTTCGACAAATCGACGTGGCGTAATTTTTTTACTAATTCAACTATGAATTAATTCTTCTCTATTTATTCGTCTATTTTAGCTACTACTCCACCAGTTCTGTGTGCTTTTCTCAGATATCAATTTTCGGGTTTCATTAGTATGGAGCGGACGATTTGGCTTAAAAATTACAATAAAATTCTCATCTGTATTTAGTCTAAGCCTTGATGAAGATAATATATCTGTATTTAATCCCATATTAAAAAGCAATCACCTCATCGACATTTAAAATTTTACGCACGTAGGTATATAATGCCACATGTATTGGCACCTTACTTCCAAGATCTTAACTCTTTCACATACTAATTGCTTAAGTTAGATAATATATCCTGTAATTCTGTTGAAAAGCTTCAAATTGATGTAGAAAATTTTGATTCAAATATGCAATCATACCGAAAGTGTACGTTTTATTAAAGGTTTAATCAGTAACTTGATTCTAACACTTACTTACATCCTTCAAAAAAATTGAGAACTTCATAGTTGCGGTTTTACACTATTGTAGTTGGAATTATCAGACGATATTTCTTGAAAGCGCATTCTGGGTTGCTGGTAAATGCGAAATCATTTTTTTATTATTGTTGCTTTTTGTACTTTCAAAAGATTATAACATTGTCTGGCTTAAAATATAGAGACACACAAAGTCATTCCCTCCGTCTCCAACGCATTTGGATTATGATTTTTTATTCTAAACCCTTTGACTTTTGAACACAATAAGGAATAACTAAGATGAATTGAAGGAAAACATGTCCGACTGGTAAGAATGGATTAAATTTCCCGAGCGAGCATTGTGACTTGCAGAAAATGTCCACAACGTAGAACATATAACATAAGTCTTCATTTCCCGATATTATGGGATTTATGACTAGTTCATGGCTGTGCGGTTCTTTAAGTTGAATAATAGTTTATTATGTTGGAATATAAAAGAATTTATTTTAGTCGAAAACAGAACAGGATTTTTGTACACATATTTCATAGGATTCTGCCTTCATATCTGACCAGTCTTTCAGTGTTATGTATGGAGCGTGCTTAGTTTTATTCAGAACCATTTGCGACTGCCTATAAAACAAAATGTAGTAGATTTATCAAAGTATTTTCAATTAATTATCTGAGATGAAACTAAAGGTTCACTCTACTACTGATTGAAGATAGGGTCAGACTGAACGTATGGGAATCGCCTCTTTTTTGAATATAATGAGCCTTCTAGGCTAAGCCAATAAATGCGAGTTTGTTTTTTGTTATTAATTCGCTTGACTCGAGCGTTTTTTGCTGCCAAATATCGAAAAATCTCCTATTGGGTTATAGTTTCCTTAATCAAATTATCGACTATAAATGACTATCTAAAGATATTACAGCTTAATTAAACAGATGCTTTTCTTCATAACGGACTTTTGAAGATAGGAAAATATTAACGAGAAACTGTGTCGACGAGGGAGTGACGTATCATAATAAACACCTAAAAATATTAAGAAGAACAAACGTTTGCTGCATTCGATTCAGATAATTTTTGTTCTTGTTTAGGAAACAGTTTGCCTGATTGTAAAAAACAGTTAAAAATAAAATCACGCTCATTGGATTGCTCATCATAGTGGAACAAGCTTGAGGTCCTCGCCCAATTGAGAATACGAAAAAAAGTTGTAATTCAATAAATTCATAGACAATCATACATAATTTATGATTAAGATCTGTTTAAACCACTCAATTTATCGTCAGAATTCACAACCGGCGTACCTAAAATATTACGTAATATTGTGAATCACGATACGTTTTTTTTAATATAAGTACATATATATTTTCAATAAATGCCAAATATTTTTTGAAATATACTATGAAGGAAACACACTGCCCCTTTCGATACAAAGTATAATAAATAAAGTGGAATGAGTACCTAGGTAGTGACCGAAATACTGGAAAACTTCCAGAAATAATCAATATAATGAGCAACTTTATGTTGTCTTTAGATAGAATACCATCTAAAACCAGAATTGGTCTTGTTCCCTCATGGATTCTAAGTGTTGGTTATTGGGTCTGTGTATGTGCAGTCCATTCCGCTATTAATTAGTGAGATTTTCACTGCCCAGTGTTCAACACTATCAAAAGCCTTTTCGAAGTCGATAAACGCAATATACATATAGTGAGATGTGATATCATTGGCTCTTTCTATTAAGATTTTCATTATTAATAGGTGGTCACTCGTGCTGAAACCCTTTCTGAAGCCGGCCTGTTCTTTCGATTGGTATCCGTCGAATTTTGTTGCTAAGCTAGTGGTTAGTATTTTTGTGAGGAGCTTATAAACTAGGTACATTAAGGAGTGTTAGAGCTCGATAGTTTTTAGGTCTGTTCTATCACCTTTTTTATCTACGATTATGATTATGGATTCATTCCAGTTGTTTGAGATGCTTTTATCTTTGAGTATTTTTTTGAGTTTTGTTTCCACCATATTTTAACATTTTTCATTTCTTTCAGTGCCCTCTTTATTTCCAGTCTGCTTATTTCGGGTTGTAGTTCTGGGTTTACGTTCTTTATTTTATGGGACTTGTTTTATGATTTCTTACGGTGGTTCCCTTTTTGTTTGGTATAAAATAGTTGTGCGATATTTATGATATCCCCTTTAATATTGATTTCTACACCGTTCATGTGACTTTATTTATCTCATATCTAGCCAATGTTGGTCTTAAGCATTTCATATTCCTGTTCTTTGCTATAACTCCTTCTATTTCGAAACAGATCTGTTTCTTCGTTCTTTCTTTTGTTTTCTTTTCTCATTTTTCTGATGGTCTTAATAATTTCTACGTATTCTATTGAATTCCTTTTCCCTTATTTGTTCATGTGCCGCGTTTCCTCCATGAGTTTCTTAAAAGAAAAATGGTTTACCATTATTGTTTTGGTTTTTCGGTTTATTCATCTTTACCACGTGAACCCGAAAAGTCGGTGAAAATAAGAAAAGCAGAGAAACCGCTTTAAAAAGTGTTGCGTCTACATTATCGTAAGCCACTGTTAATTACTCTCCATTACGCTGACAAATCTGCAATAATTTGCCTCTCTACATCCGGGAGATGCACGTTGGAGATTTAAGTGTTTTCATGGAAACGATTAGAATGAAAAATAATCCAACCATCTCCATTATGTCGAAGCACGTACACATCATTGATTTTAAGAATCTCGGTTCTACAACGCTCCAGGAATTTTCCCGGATGGAATATCAGGACCTCTAAATGAAAAAGAATTACCCTTATATAAAACGTAGAACGCCATTCTGTGCCACAACTCGCCTTTTAGGTAAAAGGTGGGCAATATTTAGCACAATGTTACACATTTGAATTAGTCTGAATGTTTTTAATGGAAACGAACCTTTAAAAAATTGTCAAAAGTAACTTGTTATTATTTCATTCATTATTCATAAAATTTAATTTTTAATTCATAAAAATCCCGAAATCGTTTTTAAACTACATACCATTTTCAAATTGCAGTGATTTAATTATTACGCTCTATCAATGGCCTTTTATAAACTCTATTGTTTATTTCACTTTTGTATTTTTTGCTTTCGAGCATTTAATCTCAAATTTTTGGCATTTCCGTGTTTTATATTTTTATTTCAAATTCAGATTTAAAAAATGGGTAAAATTAAACCACTTTTGTGTTGGCCACTTTTACAATTTATTTAAAATAAATGATCTAACGGGGATGTCAATTTATGAGGAAACACCCTGTACTGTGGCTTATCTATTAAAGATATAGCAATAATTTTTCTAGTTTTCTTTTTAATCCGTTTATTAGTTTGATATAATTTTGAATCGGAGTACTTATTTTTCCCACATTAATATATTTGCGAATATAATTTTATTATTTAGTAAATATTTTATTTCTTATTCCATTCAAAGTGAAACCGAACACCAAATAAACACGCAAACCAAACCAACACAATCAACTATGTTTCTAATTTTATTATCAAAAGTATTTGTCTTCTTTAGTGTGTACCATAGAGTAAGTAAAATAATTTACTTATTTTACTTTCTCTATGGTGTGTACTAAATATTTATTTAAAATTTAGCGGGAACTCTTTCTAACGCGGCCAGTGCCCTCTGTGTGTGAGAGAAGGCTTGCAAAGCCCGCTCCAAGTCACTTTCTTTTTACTCAGTTTCTATTTTTCTCAGTACCTTCTTATAGTCTGAAGAGAGGTGACTATAGAAAATTGCTTTTTCTCTAATCTACAATGCAGCTGTAGAGTATTATTCTCTGCTATGTTATATTTGTCGTTTCCCTAAGGCCATAGACAAGAGAGAGAGAAGCAGACTACAACCTGAGACTGAGGGGCAGTCAGATATACAACACAAACTTGTGGCATGTGTTTATATTGTTAATTTTGTTAATTAAGGTGTCTGCACGGGACGTTCTAAAATGCCCGCGTTTTGTAGTGTTCTCTATTGTGGTATGCGGTGGGAAAGAGACAGGGTGTCCTTTTTTAGATTTCCAGCTATAGGTTCAAATAAAAGGGACGAAACAAGAGAATTGTCCAGTGAGCGACGTAACGCTTGGATTGCCGCTCTTAAAAGGGGTCCTTTAAATGAAAGATTTCTGAAGAACGCTCGTGTTTGTTCTCGGCATTTTATAAACGGTAACTAACGGTGATTAACGTTAATTAGGTGCCGAAACAGTGCTTTTTTAGGATTTCCAGCAGCATTGAATTGCAAAGCTCATCCCGACTGGATACCCACACAAAATATGGGTTATAGTCCCGATACCTTACAATCTGAACCAAATTGGGAAAATATAACCAATATACAGGTAAATTAAGCGTCTTCGGGGCCCATAAACGGAAATGCTAATTAAAACTACTGTGTGCCCCTCAATATAAATAAAAACATGTCATTCATGACATAATTATCAGCCAATGAAATTCTGTTATTCTTGATAAACAAACTGCAAGGTTATGTTGGTTTGGTGTCAAAAGATTATCAATATTTATATTGGTTTATATCATGTTATATACTTCCCACTATAAGCTAAACCACATTTGACCAACGTTGATAAGATAATTAAGTAAAAACTATTTGTTTGCTTCAGCATTCTCCGAGCACCGTCTGTGTTAAAATGAGTGGAGACGAGAAACCGAAGGATCATCCTGAGCATCCAAGAAACTTGATTCCTGAACTTTGCAGACAGTTTTATAATTTGGGATGGGTTACAGGCACAGGTAAGATTTACAATTGTTTATATAAGTAGTTTAGTAGTAATGATTAACGCACACGTTTATGTTGTTATCAATGGCGTAATCATCTGGTTAGGCCCCTTCTGGATATTGATAATGAAAGTTACTAGCGTTGTATATTGTTTCTTTACTGGCACTTTTTAAAGTAATTTTCCAGGTTATCAGGTACGCGTTTGCAATTTTTGAAACAATACATATATGTATTTGTTTTATATACTACCAACGACTTTTCTTGTGGAGTTCTTATGGAAATGCGGTTTTCGACATATTTTTCTTTATTGAAATTCGCTAGTTTTCCATAGGTTCCATTCTCGTTTTGGGGGAAATACCTGCTTAGAGTTCCAAGTAATCCAAACTTACCCAAATATGTTCAAAATCTATCTAAGAAAAAACAAGTAGAAACAAAATACATATAGATTTGAAATACCTGATAGTGATAAGGAAAACGAACCCAAATGCCTACAAAATGAGTCAAAAATAAAATCAAGCATTAGCAAAATATGTATGGATTTATCAAATGTGCGATATTTTTCGAATTTCAAAATTACTTTTGCTTGAAATAGCGATCCGACCTCTTAATAGTACTGACACCAATTTTAATGTATGTTAAAAGCTATATAGAAAGTTGAAAATATATTGCAAATCCTACTTTCTGTTGTTGTTTTACAGGCGGTGGCATAAGCATTAAAGATGGGAGTAAAATTTACATTGCTCCCTCTGGAGTGCAGAAAGAACGAATTAAACCTGAGGATCTGTTTGTACAGAACATTAAAGGTCTGTGTAATTACATTAGGAAAAAATACAGAAATATATATATATTTTTTTTGATTTAGGAGAAGATTTGGAGCTGCCACCACCAGCCAAAAAATTGAAGAAGAGCCAGTGTACCCCTCTGTTCATGTGTGCTTACACGATGAGAAATGCGGGCGCAGTAATTCACACGCATTCTAAAAGTGCTGTATTGATTACAATGTTATTTCCAGGCAATGAATTCAAATGCACTCATCTCGAAATGATAAAGGGTAACTTAATGACGCAAATTTCAAAATAAGCTTTAACCATTGTTTTATAGGAATCAAAAATCAAAAGCTCGGTAGAAACTTTCGATATGACGAAGAACTGATAGTGCCGATAATTGAAAACACCCCATTTGAAGAAGATCTGGCTGACAGGCTTGAGCAAACAATCAAAGATTATCCGCATACATGCGCTGTTTTAGTGAGAAGGCATGGGGTAAGTATATTTACGAGAGTCGTTTCTTCAAGTTTATAGAAAACTTTAGAAAGTCCTAAGGAAAATGTGTGCGAGATAATCTATTTATTATATATCTTCTGGAAACGCGCATATAGTATATATTATTATATGTAGGTATATGTATGGGGGGATACTTGGCAGCAGACCAAATGCATGTCCGAGTGTTATGATTACCTGTTTGATGTTGTCGTCCAATTCAAACAGCATGGTATTGATCCCAGCCTTACCCCAGATCAATATGAATTGGAATATCAAAAGAACGGTAAAGTTTAGTGGTGTTGAGTCGGAAATAAAATAAACGATGAACGTCATATACGCATCTTGGTTTTATTCAACAAATTTTCGTAATGGTTTGCATTTTAACATAAATTTTAATCATTTGTCCCATGGGACACGTTTATTAAGCACAGAAATATGAATAGCATTAATTCTTGTCACCATTTTACGATAAATATCTAATTCTATGAGATTTGTGATCAAACAATGAGCATGCAAATGTTCCATAGATGTGAAAAGCAAAAGGTACTTACGTAAGCCCAAGACAACCAACTGCGCAAATATGCATTAGCGTTGAATATTTACCGTTTAAAACTATCTAAATGTCTTACTTTATTTGGCTGGTTTTGTCTCTTTTTTCGAACATATGCCGATGGACTTCACACCTAAAGTTTCTCGATTGCATATTCGTAATTTACTCAAAAGGTTTTAATACTCGTGAATATTACTTCATAAAAAGTATAGAATTCTGATATAATCTTAACTTTTTGTATGTCCGGTGCTTCAATAAACTCTTATTCCTGTATTTACAATTCAGAACAGACAATTTTATATTATTCGAAATGTAACAATCACAATAGGAAAACCGATTACAATATGTAATAATTATCATTTTAGATTTGCAGTTATTCATAAATAKAGCGAAATATTACATCTTATACACGTAGCAAAATAAATTAAAAATTGGTATACCGAAATTAATATAAAAATAACTCTGTCACGTATTTTCGCCGTGCTATTTTCTAAAACACTGTCCAAAATACATTATATATTACATGATAGCGCAGCACTAAAGTCATAAATTAGGAAAATACGATGTTTCAAAGTGAAGATGAGGAAAAATGCGCATCCATTGTATGTCCGGTGCTTCAATAAATTCTTATTCCTGTATTCACAACAGACAATTTTATATTATTCGAAATGTAACAATCACAATAGGAAAACCGATTACAATATGTAATAATTATCATTTTAGATTTGCAGTTATTCATAAATAGAGCGAAATATTACATCTTATACACGTAGCAAAATAAATTAAAAATTGGTATACCGAAATTAATATAAAAATAACTTTGTCACATATTTTCGCCGTGCTATTTTCTATAACATTGTCCAAAATACATTATATATTACATCATAGCGCAGCACTAAAGTTATAAATTAGGTAAATACGATGTTTCAAAGTGAAGATGAGGAAAAATGCGCATCCATTATGGATGATAATAATAAATGTTTAGTATGTCGCGTCTACAAAGAACACAACACAAAATGCATTTTTTTTTAAATGCGACATTAAATTGAGAATTTTTCCCTGGAAAATGCGTGCACCGCACCGAGAAGCGTCTACAGCAATTTAGGAACAAATATTAAATTACACATTGATGGTCATATTCGATAGGGTGCTAACGTTAAATATGTTTACTTAAAAAACACCCATTGAAGAGGATTTTTCGTAAAATAACAAATAAGCAGTACTTTGAAGCACTTCGTCTATGGAAACCTCTTTTATTTCAACATCAGACGTGTAGAACCACCTGGAAAGTAAAGTTTTTCAGTACTGACAAGTGGAAGTGATTTTGAGGATTTTTTCAAACGAATTATAAAAGAATAAAAAAATAACAGTCAAATGATTAGGAAAATATCAACCAATGCTAGACAACCATTAATGAAAGTGAGTGAAAGATCCAGATGATGATGCAACTAAAAAAGCTCAATCTTAAAACACAAAAGTGCACACAGACACATTTTAACGTTAAGAAAATTGCACGCTTACCGGTTATTTTGATGGCCTCTTCGATATGTTATAAAGTGACCAGAATGAGCATCACCTGTATGAACTACCACAGCAGATAATTGATAAACATTTCTTAACTCATTGGCCATCTCACTTAAGGACGTTCCTGTTAAGCACAATGGCGTGCTACTTGATAGAGGACTGCCACCTTCGCTTGTACTTGTATAGGTCTGAAAATTCAGATCAGGTCGTCTAATAAAATCGTTATAATTCCAGGTTACTGACCTGAATTGTTAGAAAATAGTTTCTAAAAACATTGCCTTTCTTGCAAAATGAACTGCATTAATTTTAGTGGGTAATCTGAGTGTTGCAACATTTTGAAAGTAAATTCGTTTTAATTTGTTTGTGCAAACACGCTTTAGATACACTTAACTCTCGAAATTTTAGCTCAGTTTTTGTTTGCTCGAAAATTTGCAAATTAATTCTAATAATTAAAAACATCAGCTTGCCAGTTTAATACCGTTACTGATCAAAATAACAATTTTTTTTATTGCAAAGCATGTATTTTTCTTCGCAATTTATCTCGAAGTTTCGATCGAATATCTCGCAATCGCAAAAAAGTATACGCTTTGAAGAAATTTTGCAAATTTTTAAATACATTCCCACACCCTGTAATTTTGTATGAAAGCATTATTGGGTGAAGATTTTTAAACAAGTTCGCATTATTTTCACAACACAAAAAAATGCATAGTTAAAGTCACTTCTGTATAAAACACGATCGCGTTAAAGTAAATATTTATACAAGCAAAAGTATTCCCACAAAAGAACGGGATATTTCGCTTTCGGGTTGAAACCGGTTTAATTCCGCAAAGAAAAATTAGATTGCGAATTTTATCGCACTTTTTATAATCGGTTTTCAATCGGTCAATTTAAAACGCAAAATGTCTGCTAAAAACAGCAGTTTCTTTTGTTATGCAATATTCAAAGCAAGCAAAGCAAATGGTGTATTTCAATGTGTGTTTAGTTGTTCAAAAGTGCAAGTGATAGTGTCTGAAATATGAAATATTTTGCCTTCGGAATCAAGTCACATTTCATGGAAGATGGGCATTGACATTTTTTTTGTTCAGGTGAGTCGCAGATTTTTGAAGCACAAGTTTTCACAATATTTTGTTATTTGGCAAAATTTTGTAAAATTACTATTTGTAACGGAAAACTAGCCCATATGATTATATACGTCCAGTCCGTTAATTTAAATCGTGTACAAACATAACAACTTCAAATGCTTGTCCTAAAAATGCATTCAAGTAGAAAAAACTGTATTATTTCGTTTGTTGTTACAACTGGCGAGTTTCTCCAAAAATATTGGTTCAAGAGACCAGATCTTAGCTTATCTGACTAAATTTTTAATTATCGGAGCAAATTTTTATTTATTATTGCAAATATTCATCGCCGTAAAAATAAATCTTGATTAATACCAAGAGTTGATTACTGCAACCTAACTTAATCATTTGGAACCTTTTGACGAAAATATTACAGTTCATAATTAATTTGTGTGGAAAAACCTTAGAAGTTCCGCATTTTTTTCCATTTTTTACAACGAAACGTATGCACTTGCCAAAATATTCGAAGCCAAGACTAAATGTTTGAAAGAAATACTTTTATATACTTCAGAAACAACAAATGCACATTTAACAATTTAACTATGCAAAAATATTTATATTGCATAGAAATATTCAAGATTACTGTACAGAAAGTACTGTATAACAACGACACAATACCTGATAAACTTTTCAGTTTATACAAATATTCATTTAAAGAGGTAGGTAACCAATTGCACGTTTAACTTACCCCTGGAATTTTTCTTTGGTAATGAGCACTAATAAAAGTATAGGCAGACATCGACAGACGCATGGGGAATTGTATATAGTCTTGACGCTTTGATATCCCATTGGGTGACCAGGTATTTCTGGAAATGTGCAAACAAAGACACACTGGCAACTGCAACAAACGAACAAAACTAAATTTCTTCCTGAAAAGCCAATTTTCTCAATCTACCTTTCCAAAGTTAAGAATTTTTATCTGCCTTGACAAGACAGGCACAGCCGATGGATCCCTGTTCCTGTTGCAACCTTCACATTGTACATCGGGTACCACTTCAGGTGTCACAAAATTAGTTAAGAGTTGATGAAGCTTGTGTCGTCCCCATCCCAAATCGCCAGCGCCACTAGGAAGTGGTAATGAAAGACTCTCAAACTTGTCGTAACGCACAGCAGTCTAAACAATTAAAATAATTTCAAGCGTCGCCTTATAAAATTTGCATTTTGTGGTTTTCCAAAAAATATATTTACCTTATATCCGCACTCAGTGCATTGCAGTTGACTAGTTAAAGTTCCCGTAAAAGGGTGTCCAATAGCTTGAAGTGGAGGACCAGACATCTGTAAGGCTCGGCAAGACCTGAAATATCTCTATATAAATAAGAGAAATTGTGCTTAAAATATCTTCAATTTTCCAATTAATATTCAAATCATATACGATTTATTTTCCCAAATGTAACCAACTCTCAAGTACCTGGATATCCATCGATTCCTCCTAATTGTTGAACTTCTAAAGCTTAAAGCTCCAGTGGATCTACACAAATCATTTAAAGACATCACACTTCCCATAGAGCTGAACTCCGATTGATTATCAAGATCATCATCATCAATTTCATTCATTCCAAGTGCGTCTGATAGGCATCTAGAATTTGGGAAAAAACAATAAAAACCAGGTGTTAAATAAGAGAATTGTGCATTTACCCAGCTTTTCTGCTCATTTTTTGCGTTTCTTCGTCCAAAGTTGTTAGAATAACATTCAAAAGTTCATGAGCATCTTGTTCTCCAGCTGGTATTACCCAGCCTAATCTTTTAAGAGCGTTTATTACAGCGGCAGGAGCAAAGCTATCTTGTACAGATTTATTGGTGCCATTTACCACTGTAAAAAAAAATAACAATTCACTCCTATGCATAGGCAATTGACAAAATTAAGTCATTAACATTAGGAGCGATTTTTTAAATTTAGTCGTAGTTAAGTTTAATAGTCTTACTTTCTATAGTTCACCAAGACTGCGCGATCGCATATTATTATTCGAATAAGGTCAGAAATTAATTGTAGCTGCAAGAAGAAACATAAAAAGACAGAACATGTTATGCGCCTTATACATAATAATGTATATAAGATTATGAGCACTAACTACTATGAGGTATAAATTGAGAATTGGTGGTGAAATAATCAGAAATTAATAACATAAAGTTTTCCATTTCTTTCACCTGTTGAGACAATGAGTTTATTGAGGCCAGGAACAAAGTAATTTCACGTTTCTTTAATGCTAAATTTTACGAATAATTGTTCGTAATAGAAAATAACATTCTAGCAACGGTTCTCATTGAACGTCGAAGTACATTAAGAAGAAAAACGTGATCAAGTAAGATGATGAATAAATTAGAGCATACTATGAAAGAGAGTTTTCAACAATTTTCGACAGCTATTTTGAAAGTAAATGAAAGCCGGTTTTGCTAATATTAACCCCTCAATAGGATACAAAGAAGATTTCTAACTCATATCTAAAAATGTTGAGACAATGAACCTAACTGATAATGATACGAAAAAGCTACTTGCCCGACAATACCGTAGCTAAAGTACTTCTTAAACTAGTTTCTCTTGAGCCGTCCTTCTCCAGCCACTGTACAAAGTGTGGACAAGCTGCTAAAGCATGTAGAATTGCATTTAAAAAGCATGTTCTTCCTAAATTGACTAGACCAGCTAAACGACCTCTTCGGCTGCCTGAGCCGGTTGAAGGGCCCCAAAACACAAAAGCTCCGACCACTGCAGCTGCCGTCAGACCAGCAGCAACTAATATTCTGTCCGAATCCATTTCTGAAATTAGGCTTATTTACTAATATTGATAGAAGTATGCACGTTTAGGCTCCTATGGTGATAAATGAACAGAACAATCCTTATGAGTAAAATGCGATCTTCTGACTTAGAATCTGCTTAAATCTTAATTCAAAAACTATATGTTGTTAACTTTTCGAAAAACCAACAGCTCCTTGTGACAACCAAGTTTTATAAGATTAGTGCTAAATGTAATTACCTTTACATTGTCAATTACTCTTTTGATTTCTTAACAGGCGATTTTCATCCTTAATATTAATATGATTTGTTTTTTATATAAACAGTTCGCACTACACATATAATACCGTTGACACTGACAATCAGCTGTTATCTGCCTTGCACCTGTTCACCCATTGGCTGATAACGATGACAGATCAGAGATTCATAAAACACAAACACAGGTACTACTAATATATTAGTATATTTTAAATTAAAAAAATATCTTAATTTACATTAGTTGTCGTTACAAATGCGTTTGTGGATGAGGCGTCAATACATTGTATACCCAATTTACTAGTTGCTCAAGTGAGTTACCCTGCAATCATACTTTAGTGTATATTTTAAAATCATTACTGATACCCACTTAAAATTGTTCACAGTATCAACTCGAGCAAAAGTAACAAATGGAATTTTTATTTACAATCAACAACCAATAAGTTTTACACTTTAAGAAATTTTTTTTTCGATGCTTTTTTTTCTTCAATTTTCGCTTTTCTTTGGCTGTGCATCTTTTGTTTCAGCTTTTTCTTCCTTCGTTCCCCCTTTTTGTCAGTTTTGGTTCTTTCATTTTGACCAATAATATCACCTTTAGGTTTGTTTTTAATTTCCTCAGGTGCCAATAAATTAGCATCACTAACTGCAACTGGAGCCACTTCTTCCATGCTAACTGCGGGCAATTTCTTGATGACTTTCAATTCGGGTATGGCAGCTGTGGCTGTAAAATGGAAGTTGGAGAGAGAATCTAGCTTTGCGAACAGACTGTTCATCATTTTTTTAAGCTCTTTATGGGATTCCGGTTCTTCTTCCTGTTGTTCTTGTTTATCTTGATCAAATGCCGCCTGTTGGGTCAAGTAATCCTTCTCATATATATTGGCCAACGACTCCTTGCTTTTTTCTTGATCCAATAATAGCTTCTTCTTGAAATCAAACGGCGTGTCTATAGGTCGGACACATTTTTCGATACTATCAAAAGCTTTATCTTTAATTCTTTGCCTTATTATATCTTCCAGTTGCAAGGAGGCTTGCTCTGTGATAACAGGGGCTGGTCTAGATGTTAAATCAAAGTCCAGAACCTGTTCTAGCAGAGAGTTTTGCGGCCTTGTTTGGCCAGTAATTTCTCCCTTTAATGGCCAAGGCTGGTCACTAATTGCTTGTTCTTCAAATTGTTCAATTTTTCGATTTAAGCGCTCTTGCCTCGATTCTAAGGATGACTTGAAGTGATTCGTCGCAAGTTCATCTTGCTCGGAGCCACTATTTTCTTCCTCCAATTCCTCCATTAACCTGGAAAACATTTCTGCTATATTTTGAATGGTAACGACTGTTCATTATGAAATTATTTGAATTTCGTTTAATAATACCTGTTTTTCTTTCTCTTGGGTTCATCTTGCCTTTTATCAACGAAATAATCTTTGAATCTGGCAATTTTTGCTTCATCCTCCCCTTCTTCATCCTCGTCACTATCGTTCTCAAACAAATCGACATCCTCCTCTTCAGAATCCGAGTCGTTTGGGACTTTTGATGGCGGATTTTCTTCCTTTCCTATAACCGAATCATTTTCAACTTAAGTTAATGTAATAATATTATCTTTTTCATCTTACTTAGAAACTCTTCCATTTCGTTTAATTTGAAGAATTCGTCATCGACCACCGACTCTTTATACTTCTTTGGGGGAGGTGCACAATTATCTTCATCTTCACTATCAGAGGCAGATTCATTATTCGAATCATCGTCTTCAACGATTTTCTCTTCAGGTTCATCTGGAGCAGAGGAGTTGCTTTCGTCATCTGTGCTAAACTCATTACTTAATTCCTTGGATAAAGAACTGAAAATCAATCTGTCTTTTGCAACTAGTAGAGCACTTATGTCTTTAACCATGTGCTCTACAATACACGTGTTTTGCAGTTCCAATTGCTGCCATATCTGCTCCAAATCGAAATTATCAACAATCAGCTTCTTCAGGGCACTTCCACTTTGAGGCACTTTGCATTCGATTTCTTCGCTTTTAGTGAAATCATATAAGTCCTTTAAAGTTGACTTTAAACTACTGGATAACGCTTTATTAGAGTCATGGAAATTTGGTACATCCTCAATATGTTTTGAAAATGATTCGAGAAACGTTTCTAACTGATTAGTCTCCATTTCCAACCACGATTAATTATTGAGTTGACCTAACAACACGTTTTAACTGCATAGATAAAAACAAGTTAACTGTTCTGTGTTCTTCTGAGTTCGAACGTGGTTCGAACTCGTTTACAAATAACAGACTGACAGACGACAGTGACAAAGTCTGTGATCTGTGGGTAGTCTGTGGACTTGTTGAAGCACAGATCACAGAGGTTATCACCCTTTGAATATAAAACTAATTGTGATCACAGAACAATCAAGAATCAATCTGGGGGATTCTGTGATTGTGATTCGATCTGTTGCTATTTCGGGTCAGGCTTTACGAACTGATGAAAATATATTGATTGGGAACATTTGGACTTGCTTTAAAGGAGAAGGCCTGGGAAATTTAAAGATATCGACGAAATTACAATGTTTGCAGCAAGGACCCGGACCGAAAGGAAATATCTGTTTCTTTCCGGCTCCGGTCCCATGGCAAACTTTAAAATTTCGGTTTCGTTGCGGTTCCGCTTTAGAAAATAATTTTCAATTCCGTTCCGTTCCCATTCCGGTTTTTTTTCGGTTTACTTCGTTTTCAAAATCCATATATAACAAAGATCGAGAACAAAGATAAAGACTACTTTAAAGTAGTTCCTAATTAGTTAGGAATCTCACTATTTTTCCCTCGCTTGCTGTATTGAAACACACATGACGGCAAACACGTGACGTCACATCCTGCTCTTGCGTCTCTCTCCGCTCAGGATTATCTGTATATTCTAGGAACCTCGGGATCTGTGCACATCAGCAAATCAGATAAATTTTGCAAAAGCAAAACATAACCGCATTTCTTTAGAAAACTTCACGTTTCACGTTGAGGTAAAATATCGGTGGTTGAAAACAAATTGCTTTAAAACTATAAGTAAATGGCGAAAAGCATTCGAAGTAAGTGGAAGAGAAAATGCAGAGCAATCAAGCGAGTTCGTTATGGGGAAAAGGAATTGGAAAGATTGAAGAAAACACTGGCGAATGATCCTTTAAATCACAAAACCGAAAAGCTGGAGGAAATAGCAAATGTAGTAACAGCTAGTGAAATTCAAGATGCCGCCCAAAGTGAACAAATGGACGTTGATGCTACAGCAACTGCAAAAGTCAAGAAGATCAAATTGAAGAGAGCTAAAAGGGACGTTAAAAAGGAAGCACGGAGAAAGATCGAGAAAAAGCGCAGGAAGAGGAAGGGAAAGAAAGGACGTAACTCAGTGTCTTTAAGTATAGAATAATAATTTTATTACTGACCTGAAGAAATACTTGAACATATTGATATGTTGTATAAGTTTTCATTTTCTTGCTAACAGTTAAATAAATACATTTGCTATTGTAAAGTTAAGTTGTGTTTTAACTACTATCCTGAGAAGTCACCATTATTTACTCCATTTCCTTAGTGAAAAGTCTTATTTCTCTCGCTAGGTTCATAATAATAATAAGTCCCTAGGTAAATTATGAAATAGGTATTTGTAAGTTTGTGGCTATTTTCATTTTGCCTACCTGTCTATGTTCAGACAAGATTTCATCCATTTCCACTTCTAAATCACTGAACTTTAATCGATTTTCTGGAGACCGATATTGATAACTGACGGTCAATCAATCAAATATTGCGAAACATAAATGAAAAATTCAAAATATGATTAATTCTATTAACGCAGTTATGCGGTATAGTAGTAAAAAATATATACCTTGGTCGAGCAGGCCATTAAGTACCTCACGCAATATATGAAAGTGCTCGGTATATAATAGATTACTTCTCGCCCTAGGTATAAAATATGCTATTTTTGTTCTGTATTTATGGTTAACATAATGTGCCACTCTCTTTTTTTCACTATTATACAATGTTTGTCAATTAAATGTAGCTATTACTGAATGCCTGCAGCGGTGTTTTATTGAAAGCTGAAATAAAACAATATATTTCATAGTCAAATTGTATTTATTTAATAAAGAAGTATCTATAAAAAACACAAAATTACAATTTTTTCAGTAATATTTTGGCACCGGCAGTTTCTTGCGACTTCAGGAATTCCAAGTGGGGTTTCAATTTAACTTTCAATTGCTTTTGCACGGCACTGATGCTGTTTTCCCAGACAGCTACCAACAGGAAGTTGCCTCTGTTGATCTTCAACCAGCGTTTAAGCTAAATAAAAATCCGGTTTAAAATTGTGATTTTGGCTTAAAAAAAGGCAATCTTACAGTTTGTTTCTCTAGCCCTTGCACTAAAGCAGAGCCAAATGTTGACTTATTTTCCTCGGTGGCAGTTTTATCATTTTGGGCCAACTTTTTTAAAACCATGTGAAGAGCCGGATGTTCTATTCCCTTCACATCTTTCTCGCCATCTTTCACCGTCCAATCCATGTCTGTAATCGTTCCTACTATGCTGTTAAGAGCTTCTTCCAGAACATTTCCCGATCCTGCAATAAATGCGAAACTCCATTTATGGCTCCAATTTGAATGACTGCATTTACTTACCAGATTTTATAATGGCAACCATCTCAACTCCTATGGATCCCGAGGATAACCAGAAATTTGCGTCTTCAATAACTAAGCTCAGTAAAGAATTTGCAGAGTAGACTAGAATTTCGGATCTTCTTGTCTCCACGGGTTTTTTGCTGTTGGATGCTTCTCTTCCAGCGGTCAGTTCCTTAATAAATTGCGGGTGGAAAATTTTCGAATCTGCTGGGGCAACTAACCAGAGCAGTACCTACACATCAACATTTGCATTAATTGCCTCAAAGTTATTATGTTCAACGCAAAAGCAGTAATTGTTTGGCATACCTTTCTTCCATACTCACTAACAGCCAAATCCTTGGCTCCTTTCAAAATCTCCGATAAAATAATTTTATGCAACAGAACTGTATCATCTACTGTGTCTAGAAGTGCAATTATAGTCCTGTGTCCAAACTCGTGTTTTGACAATTCAAGTAGATGTTCTTTGAGAGTCTTCATAATGACCTAAAAAGATTGAAATCATCTTTGAGTACTTTCAGTTAATTTTTAAATGGAATTCTTGAATGTAAAATTGAGGTGTTATCCTCCTTATACCTTCTTATCTTTTGCGGTTCCATGCCATATGCACTGCATCGCAGCTTTGCTTCCGTCTCTACTATTGCTTATGACCACTATGTGAGCAGCTAATTCTGAGATTAGATCAGCGCGATCCTCAGCTGAGCATTCTTCTAAAAACTGATGCAAGACGGTCTGAACAATTCCTGAATCTAAAAGTGACTTGTTGAGGATTCTTTTAATATTGGCCTTGCAAGCGTTTAGGGTTCCAGTCTTCATGCTATCATTTCCTTTATACACATCTCTTATGTGTTTTACATTTGGATCTTTGGAGTTCTTGTATAAATCTCCATAAAATTCCTGTATAAGAAATTGCTTCTGGACAGAAGTGGCATGTTGAGAAAATGCAATTTCAACCACTGGAGCGCTGATTGTGTGACTAGCCAATTTCACTGCATGGCCTTTCAGTTGATCAACTACTGCCGTCCTAATATCGTCTTTGCCATACTTTAATAAGCGTTCTACGCAATGTATTCCATATTTTAGATGTAGCATGTCAACAGTAATTGGGATTAGTTCCTAAAATTTGAAATAGCTTTACTTTGTTACAAACTATTTTTACTGTGAATAATCATCTAAAATATAATTCAGAACTTACTTCGGATATTTGATGCACAAGAATATCACTAGAATATTTCAGCAACCACTGAACGATTCTGGCAGTATCATGAGCCAAAACAAATTTTGCATAATGCCCTTTAAGAAGGTCGTGCAGTTGGTTTATAATTTTAATCCTATCTGTTTCCTTGAGATTTTTCAATCTTAGTTTTTCTCCCATTTTCTTAGCTTGTTGTATTTTGTCAAAGTTGTCTTTAGTTCTTGCCTTAATTCGCTTCATTCGCAGTTCCTTTTTTTCCTGTTTATATTTATGCCAATCTTCTACCTTTTCAAATGGGGCATCTTTACCTTTTCCTTTAAATGGAAGTATTTTGGCTTTGCCCCCTTTGGGATTAGTTGGAACGCCCTTTTTGCCAGATTTCATGAATTTTGAACCATTTTTCGGTTTGTCAGTTGATGATGGGTCTGTCTTTTGCAATTTGGGGCTTTTCTGCGATTCCTCTGTTTCAGGTTTCTTTCGCTTCTTTGACTCGTTAACCATGTTGGTAGTTTTATCCTTCTGGAGAGTTAGTTTGCTCTTCACTTTTACCATTTTGAAAAAATTCTTCAGAAAAACATGTGCAAACGATACTGGAAACAACTGAAAAACATGTGTAAAATTGAGGTTAGGATGAAAAACCGGGCCAATAAAACTTCCTCTTTATGAATGAGATCGTGGCGCATTGCCAGACTTCCGTAATAAACAATTAAATACAAAATTATTAAAAAATTTAAGATTCAATTAAAATGAAATAAAACTGGGGACTAAAATTATGACAGATATATAAAATAATTAAATTAATAAGCCCAAAAGACACTGGCTGGTAATTTATAATTGCCAACACTAATCAATTTATTTAAAAATTAATTTTTATAGGTCATTCTGTGCCAAATCCTATTAATTGATATATAGATTTTGTTAGTGGTCAATAAAAACTCAATATAATCAATTAACAAATTTAATTTTAGAGTCAAGCTAAAATCTCAAAGGTAAGGAAAAAATTTGCTTAGTTACAGAAATTAAATAACATAACATTTTTTTACAAATTTCTTGTCGGGAGTTCGGCTCAAAAATTTTTATCTTTAAAAAAGACAGAATTTCCTCACGTCTTTTATTACAAAAAATGAATCCGCCTCAACAATATAGAACTTATCTACAACTTAGATATAACATTGTTAAAAAAATGCACCCCAGGATTGTTCAAAGTCACGTATGAACTGTAGAATTGCTTTCTAAGTTAACTTTTTTAAGGTAAAATAATACTATATACAGTTTTGTATTTGTAGTAATTGTATTTTACAATATTTACAGATTTTTTAAAATAATTTTCAAATTCATGTTTTTAGTATGGAGTAAAGTAATATGCTTAAAAATCAAAACTATTAAAATATATTTGTAGATAGGTATGTCTATTCAGGTTAGCTGAATCTTTCCAAATATTAAACATTATATGGACTTAATATACTTATGAAGACTTATTTGAAAATGGCCAAATAATAAGTATAATAAATACAAGATTTGATCCGAAACTGATCTGCTAAATAAACTCAAAACCCTCATACTTGAGATCCGAGATGTACGAATCCTCCAATAGAATTTCACCCTTTATTGTAAAAGCCGTTATATAACTTGCAGTTTTTCCTTCTAGTTCTTCAGTTTTCAACGCAACGATAATATGATCTTCTGTTGTGGGCACAAATTTGAAACTAGAAAATCCTCTAGTGTTGATATTTTTTAACTATAAATTAAAAAAACACACAATTTATTTGAAGATAAGTCTTACGTAGATTTATAATAATGTTTTTTATAATTATTATGTTCGTCATGTTGGTGTTTTTCACAACTGAATTTTCCAAAAATTTCAAAATTAATGCCAGATTTTTGTTGTTTTAATTTTTTCTCTTTCAAAATGTTTATTTAATATCAATTGATAACTAAATAAAAAAATTTCTTTAATATACCTCAACAACTGTAACATCATACATGTTACTATCTGCTGATAGTAAAACATTACATCCTTTTCTCTCATCTAGCGAGTCATTATATTGTTCTTTACTGCATCTTCTCGGTAAAAAGAACCATCGCCGATGAACATCTGACCAAACGCCGCTTTCATGAATCATGTAGCCTGGCCAATAAATTCCTATAGATTCGCGTAATCGGTTGTATTCGTTCTTCCAATTTATATGAGTTACCTGAGAAGGATTGGCAAAAAAGTGTTGTCTGAAGGCTTTCTTATTAATCTAATGAAACACAACTTCGAAATGTTTCAAATATTAGAAAAAAACTAGTTTAGACCGGCCTTTTTAAGAGATACAATTACACGTGTTCTTCAAATAATTGTTTTAAAACTCTATGTTTACTTAAATTACCTCTCCTGTAACTGTAACAGCCTTTATGTACTGGGGATCGTGATTCTCAAATTGCCCATCATCTGTAGTCCATTCCTTTCCCATGGAACCAATATATAAAATCTGATTCTTTACTGTTGCCCATTCTGACTTAAAACCTTTCGCTGATCTAAAATTGTGTTTATCATGTTCTGTGTGTACCAAATAATATTTTTACATTAAACTTGGAAACGTTTCATTCTTATAGTATGAAGGTGCTTTGATTTTCTATTATTTACAATGCAAGTTTCGAATTATAGTTGCGTAACCGACCCATATTACACCGCATACAATTGAAAAAATCCAAAATCAAGTAAATTAGGTGTTGAATGTGAAAGAAATCGAATTATTGCCAAAATGAACTTACACACTGGACCTGGACTTAATATCAATACTTGTTAGTTTTACATTTTGATAATTACGTTCTCAGGTTTTAATCAATAGATAATGTACCTATGCATTGGGAAAAATCTTCTGCCTTGGCCTTTTTATTGCGCTTAAAATCTAATCTAATTATCAAAGTGTAAATATGTACTTGGCAATGGCAAGATAAATGAAATCTTCGATTAGCCAATACAATTTAAATTATCAAAATCTAAAGACAATGATTGCAAGAGCGCTAAGCAATTAAATAGCTGTGTTGACTGACTTGCCATCTCCATCACTGAGCAATATCCAAGGCACCACTTTTTCTTCATTGATGATTTCAAATATAATTCCCGTTCTATCGTCGAAAGTTAGTAACCTGCCATCGAAAACAACCAACTCTGATAATTCCATGCCCCTGTCTTTTAATGAGTAACTATTCTTGAGCAGTTTTGGTTCAGAGTGATCCCAAGTAACCATCACATGATGACTAGTGGGGTTGAAACTTAAAAATCCAGTTTTCAAGTAGGAATACCATGTTGTCTCTTCTTTATCACTTTTCGACTTTTTGTCTAAATCACTTATAATGCCTAAGAACAGACGTACATATTATAGGGCTGTGAAAAATTGAAAAACCACTTACCTATTTTAAATGTGTACAGTGAGCTAGTTTTTAGGGGCCTCGAAAGAGGATATGTATAATTATACGAATGGACACTATCTACAAAAGTACTTTTCAGGCTTATTCCACTTTTCCTTGGATACATATAGAGAATAATTAAAACACATAACCCGGTTAGTCCTATGATGGTAATAAACTGCGTTTGGCCCCTCATGGTTTTATTCACTACCCGAAAGGCCGGTTGGGATCGAAGGGCCTTCCTCCAGTCTCTGGATGGCACCGTTTCATCTTCATTAAGTAAATTCGATCGGATATTCTCCATTAACGTGTTGTGCTGCTTATAGATTCTCTTACGCCTTTTACGACTACTGCTAATGAGCTGATTTGAATCTGGCATAGGCCCATGGATTTGGTGGCATTTTGATTAAATTTACGTGGATACTTTTCAATAGATAAACATAACCTAGCATTTTTGATAAACATATGTTTGTCAGTTTTTTAATGACGTCTAGCGTGTGAGTTATGATCGGTGAGCCAAGTAATTGGAGATTTGGTGGATTCATCGTTTACTGATTGCGAAAATTAACCCTAGCATTTTTTTGCCGACTGATGGCCGAGGAAATTTTGCTAAAGCCAGATATTATTGTTTCAAATGTATCGCAATTCGCAATGTCCGTATTTGAGAACTTAATGTTTTTGGGCCACCTTATAACAGCTGCTTATTATGGCATCAAGGCAGTTGAGAGGGCGCCACATGCAAAAATTCAAAATTGATAGAGGGAAACTTTGACGGATTTCTTAGCATGCAATTTTTGCAAAATTTCCATTAATCAATAGCTGCCTCAATAAGTGAGTAAGCGACTAAATATGATTAAAATTAGAACATTTTTAGGGACAATTTCTGATTGATCAAGGTTCTTTTTGCTTTACCTTGAACTCAATAAAACAAAATCAATACTGATGGGAAAGAAGCGTTTTACGCGTTGACAGTGGCGTTTACATATGGCATTTTTGCCAAACACCTTCTTCTTCCAATAGCGAAGCTCAAAATGTTTGTTTAGTTCGCATTTCTTCGATAAAATATGCTGTTCTTTCATACTGGCAGGCAAAATCTTCATTACAATCACTAAATAAATGCTCAAATGAATTAACCCCAATATATCCGCGAAACTATCAATGGCCGCATTAAAATAATGGCTTGCTCCGCACAATCAGCCTCTTTAGGAGAAAATACGTCCAGCGACGAGGAAAGCCCGGAATGGATTTTAGCAAGACAAGGGATAAATCTATTAATTAACAATGGCTATGCTGAGTCGGAAGCTTTATTTTGCAAATTTCCCAACAGTCTGGTTATGTATGCTGGTTACTCTTTTACTGTTTTTATGGTAAGATCTATAATAAGTTACGAAAAATTTAATTGGGGCCTTAATTTAGAACATTAATTTTCTAGTTGTTATTACCAACCAGTTATTTATAGACTACTTTTTAAATTTGAGTAAATACAGTTATTTGCATCTTGCGTTCTAAGTTACCTATCCGATCAACTTATAGATAATTCCTTTGTGCGAAACTTTCCTAGCGATATTTCTCAGAGAACTTTTACTTACGTACTTACTACATTTTACTCTTTTAAAATCGCTGATTTTCCATAAGACAATTTGGACAAACAAGGCGCAACGATATTCACGCTGGAATGGTCTGTTTTTTTATAAAAAAAATTGCAAACATCAATGAGCAAACAGTGGTACAAAATCACTTTTATCTCATTTTGAAGAAACACCATTAAGGAAAATCAACGGAGGTTCAACTCGAAATTAGTCAAAATGATACATAAGCTCTTACTATATTTATGAGACTTTTATAAATTCGTACGAGCAAAAAATAACATATTTTGGTAATTAAACACAAAATATAATGTTAAAGGGGCTCTATTTCTATTCCTGCTAAAATATCTCCCCGATAGCACATTAATTTTACAGTAATATTTTTTTTCAAATATTTATTGTAGATCTGACGCGACAGATTCTTATATATTTAAGAAATATTTTTTTAAGTATTTATTTGACATTTGAATCATATATTTAAGAAATATATATTTTTTAATAGTTATTTGACATTGATATCAGATATTTAAAAAATATGTTTTTTAAATATTTATTTGACATTTATATTAGATATTTGTTTCATTAGTATTAATTAACAATTTTATTAGATTTTTTTTTCAATGGTGGTAGCGGTGGTAACCCCTTGGGTATTCAGCCAGGTCGATTTTTTAAATAGTGCAATATTTTTGTCAGCGCGATGATCCTTTTTGATTTTCAAGTTGGTAGTCCGTACGTCCAACCCCTCGGCCACCATCCTATCATCCTAATCTTGAGTTATTTTCCTGAGTGTGTGTAATGATTATTATAATTTTTCTTCCTAGGTTTCAGTCGAAATGTGAAATAAAAATGTTCATATCATCTAATACCGTTATATGAAATAGACACGATATTTTTATTTATTTTCGACAAATTTTGTTAATCTGGTCTAATAAACACCATATATTCAGCATTTAATAAGGGTCTCAGGTTTTTGTAGTAAAAGATAATTTACTTTTACGTACCCTTACTTTTCTGCTGCGGGCACGCAACATTTATTTTCGACCAATTTTTCTATATACTGTGGATATACATTAAATATTAAAAACTAATGTTTTTTTATAATATTTAAAAAATATTTATTTGTGCTATGAAATATTTACCATTAATTGACTAATGAAAATTGAGATAATATGTTCTAAAGTTTGTTCACACTTATTAAAAATAATATATTAGTAACTTTTTAGGTGTTAATGGTATTATATATAGGTACAAAAAGTATTATGTACTAAGAAACATTATTATTAATTTATTTGTTTCATGCTAATTAAATATTAAAAACAAATATTTCTTTTATAATATTTAAAAAAATATTTCCTTTTGCTATGAAATATTTACCAAACATATAAATATTTGGTAAATATTTAGTAAATATTTATGTAATATTTTGTGCTATCTGGGTTTTATTTATACATTCGTACGAGCAAAAAATTACATATTTTTGGTGATTAAACACAAAATATAATGTTAAAGGGGCTCTATTCCTATTCCTGCTAAAATATCTCATCGTAGCAATAAATTCCGGGAACATGAACACCTTGACTGCCAAATGAAATTGCTTGACTTATTTTTACGTTTTGAGAGTAAAGCAGTTGAAAAGTCTCCAATATTTATGCTACATTACGCTTTATAACGGTGAATAAATATATTCACAAGGCGCTTGATTAAATCATTTTAAAACCAAAGGTTCAATGAATTCAATGAAGTCATGAATTTTCAATGGTCCTAAATGCCTGAACTAACTTTATACTGAAACTATACGTCTGTATAATAACTAAAATAAAAACAATAAAACAGTCCCTGCTTAAGAATATTGCAGAAACTTGTAGATTATTGTGCAACAAGCAACCATACAGTTTAATTAAAAACTAATAATTTCACACACCTGCAATTTGCTACTATTCTACATCATGGTTTTAAACAAGTAATTTTGTACTTAATACTTTATATAGTATTTTTTTATTAGGACGCATTGATGAGTTTTGAGGAGGAGAAACTTTCAAAAGCAATAGTAGTTTTAAAGGAAGTCGAAAAACGATGCACTGCTCAAACCGGCTGGTTTAAGTCTATATCGCAGAAGGTTTTCGGTTCTTCCATTGAGAATGCTCAAACGCTTGCGGATCAGTTGGAAACTCAGATCATCTTAGCTGATTCACAAGTATTCAAAAATGCCTTGGGAGTTAATAAAATTATACGAAAATTTGTGTAATTTTAGGTTTGCTTGGCAATTATTACTTTTCTGCAACAAGACTTGTCTGGCTACTTCAAAGGTGGGTGGGTGTTGCGCAAGGCCTGGAAAGTTTATCAGCGAAGTTACAAGGATATTTTAACTCTCTACAAAGAGAAGGTGGGAGCCCTTCAACTACCCGGTAAAAATTCATCTATTCTCATCTTTTCCAAATGAAACACCATTTTGCGTTGTAGATCCTATTCCAACTCCTTTGACACCGATTTGCGATTTCAATGGACCTGCCACCGAATTCGATGATGAATCTGAAGCAGATTGGGACCTCCCTGAGCCCCAATTCAATGGGTATTCCAATTCATCCAAGTCCAAAATTTCGCATTCCACTTCCTTAAATTTTGCCGAAACTCGCGCGACTCATTTTGAGAGAGACGGTGGATCATCGACTTCTCACAAAATATATAGCAATAATATCAATAGGCCAAACAGTTTATCTTTAAGAAAGTCAACATCAGCCATTAATTCTTTATCGGCAAGAACCCGACGTTCCACACGGTTACATTTAAATACTCTTTCAAATACTCTATCCGTATCCAATTTAACTTCGTCCTTAAGAGATATATTTCCTGGTCATGACACGTAAGTGAACGGTGGAACCATCAGACTTTTCATTACAATTGATTCAATTTGTGTTAAACAATTTTGAACATTTTAGACAATCAGAAGTGATAGATAAGAAAACAATCATGCGCTTAATGGAAGCTGTTTCATTTGGATATGGGCTTTTTCAGCTAGGAGTTTCACTATTACCACCTTCATTGACCCGGTTGATTAGTTTCTTAGGATTCGCTGCTAACAGACAAAATGGGATATCGTGTTTAATGTATGCGAGGCTTGGTGTGGATATGCGAGCTCCACTAGCAAGGTGTTTGAGTTTTTATTGTATGTTTTATAATGCAAGTTTTTCTTTGATTTAGTTTAGCTTTGTTGTGGTATCATACAATTGTTCGGCCGTTTTATGCGATTGATGGGGTAAAGGTTCAAGCTGGCGTGGACGCTGCCACGCTACTAATAAAAGAATCTCAAAACGAGTTTGGAAATTCGGCGCTGTTTCTATTTTTTGCTGGTCGAACCAGTAGACTAAACGTGAGTTTTACATTCGATATACATTTATTGATTGATCACTCACTTTATTGTTCCTAATGTTACCAGCTATTTGTAATCGTTCTTTGTTTTAGTCTAGCATTCCCTCTGCCTTGGACTCTTTTGAAAAAGCCAAACAAAACGCTAATCACCGGGAAATTAAAATACTGTGCTTACACGAAATCGGATGGTGCCATCTAATTGAACTGGACTATTCAAATGCCAGAAACACTTTTGTGCGTTTGAAACACGCTAGCCGATGGTCCATGTCATTTTACATATACTTAGCGGCAATTTGCATCGGTAAGTGCCAACTTATTCTGTTGCGGTATCAAGAAAAAATACTAGCATATGCTGATATTTACTGCAACTCTTCAAAAGTGACACCTAAAATCTTTTATAGCGCATAATTTCCAGGGCAAATCATTGAAAAAAAATCGGGAAAATAGGTATTAACATATCTCACTGCCTAAGTGATTGTTTGATTCAATGTTTCAGGTGCCGTTCAAGATTTTGCCAATTTTAGTATATTTGCTGAGCTACGAAAAAGTTCACGAACTTCCAGAGCAGGACAATTGGATGATTTTTTAAGACGAAGGGTCCATTGTTGTCCGAAAGACTTGGAAACAGCGAAAAGCTATACGAGTTTTTATTTCAAGTTGTTGGTGTTCGAAATGCTTTATCTATGGAATGCTTTGGCCAGTTGCAGTCGAGAAAAGGTCGATCTGATCTTAACAGGTCAACATAGAAGGGTTCTGTAAAGGTTTCGTACAATTGAAAAAATATGTTATAGAGTGTAAAAATATGATCTCACCATCTGATGAACCCCGACTAGGATTGGCTAATTTAATATTGGGATCTTGCCATAGCATAAAAGGAGATCTTAAGTTGTCTGCCATATACTTTCGGAATTGTTTATCTCAGCGTAAAAACGAATTAGCAACGGCTGAAGATGCTCACATATCAGCTTTCGCTCAATACGAGCTCGGACACATTTTAACTCAATCGGAAGAGGTAATGTATAATATTACAGTGTTTTGAACATTGAATTAAAGTACTCAACAAAATAGACCTTACACGAATAAGTTTCAACTAACTTTGGAACTGAATATATTCTGATTGCTGAGAGGGATTTGATTTCTGTTTGAAGCGTTAATTAGTGCAACTCTTTTTATTTTTCGGTATTTTCGAACTTTACACGACGGACGCTTTAAATAAAAACCGAATCGATCGAAGCAATCAGAATTTATCCACTTCCAATGTTAGGCTGAATTTGGTTAAGAAACATTCATTTTCTTGAGCAGTTTACTTGAGCAGACAAATTGCATTTTGTCTGCAAGATACATAAATATTTTGTAGACTACAAAAAATAGAATATGAAGACCTTGCAATTATCTTTCTAATTATATGTTATAATGACAACTTTATCAAATACACTCAAAAAGGGTGCGAAAGTCAAGAAAATGTATTTTTTACGTATGAAATTGCACAAGAAATCGTTAGCGTTAACAATTATTATCAGTTATTATGAAAGAATTGCAGAATCCCAGGAAGGCAAATATACTATTTTTCCAGTCCGAAAGTCAAGCTTTGCATAATATACATATGTGTGAAAATTGTTTTATGTTTCATATTCGTCGTATACCTACGCATTAAAACCATTGCTTCTACAAAATGTGAATTTATTTATTTTAGACAAGAGAGGAAGGAAAATTGTTACTGGAGCAAATGAATCGCTATTCGCATTATGATTTTGAGGCCCGCTTGAATGTAAGGATACATTCGATACTCAGGCACCTGGAGTAATAACAGACGATACTGTACAAGATCTGTTACTTAATTCATACAAATATTTCTACCAGAGCTTGATAATATATTTATTCACGTTGTAAATAGAGAGTCTAGAGGATTTAAAACACAAAGAGGTATTTTTGACACGGTGAAATAACCTGATAAAAAGCCGAATTTCTAATAGGAAATGTGTCTCAGCTTCAGAAGCAGTAAAGTAGTAGTTAAAGCAGTTAAAGTATGTTTTTTTATATTATATACTTTTCCTATGCACTCTCATTTGATGAAATGTATCTACATCACATCAATCCAATGAGAAAGAATAGGAATAGATGTGTATTAGGATAGGTATGCAATGCACTATTATTTTAATGTTTAAATTAAATGCTTGATTATACCATTATCCGGGTTATCAACGTTATAAAATGATTAATTGTTAGTTTAAATGCAAACTTAGTTGACCGAACTAGAGTGGGTAAGTATAAATTACTTTGCAACCTACTATTAACCGAAATTAGTTTTTAATGCACACGCTCATTTGAACACGAAACCCTCAAATTAATTAATAATTTCGAGTACATTTTCTATATAATATATAGTTATAATTGATTATTTACCAAATTAATTTAGATTGTCTTCGCCGTCCAAATAGTGTGTTTTATATTGATAGGTTTGATCCCGGTATCAACGGATTTAAACATTGCTAATTCTAGTTAAACATTTATTATACATACTTTTCTGATCGTATAAAATATAAATAGAATAGGTACTTTAAAATTACTGTACTTTACTTTCCCTTTGCATTTTCCATTATGCCATGTACTCTAAATCTGCAAAAAACATAAAACATTAAAAAGCCTTAAACATTAATTAAATTAAATTAATACATTATAAATATAATAAATTAAAAAAACATTTAAAAAGGCCACAGCCACATTTGAAACAACCTTTTCGTAGGCTAATATTGCCCGTGTGCAACGATTTGTTTGACTTAATATACTTTAATAAGAATGTATTTTTTCAGAAATATTTTTGGGATTAAAAAGAAAAGCAAAACTCCCGCATCTATTTTATCTGACTTCTAGCTTTCTTTTACTCATTTTGAATATAAATTCTTGTAAGTTTACAATTTTTAACCTTATTTAGATTGCATTTTAAATATTAATGTTATATATATTACCTGTATACGCACGTAAAATCGTTATTTCCATGATTAGATTGTACTTTCAGCTCGATAAAATCAAATGTATCGTGTATGGGATAATGAAGTTTAAACATTTGAACTGGCGGGCCGTCCAACTTATACGAGAATTGACCCAGCAAAGTTCCTCTATCAACTACGGATTTCAATCCCTAAAAACGCTCGAATTAATCTACTTTCTTATTGGTCCTTCTGGTGTAGAATATATGCGGTTAATTCAGAGGAAGCACAATCTACCCAAACTGTAAAATCCTTTGGTGCCGTAGTGGAGTCTCCAGATGGGGATATACTTTTGGAAATGTGCTCTAAACTAACTGCATCAATTCTTATAGAACCCAACAGTTTTATGATAACACCGCCGCTCGATCCTTTAAACGCCCAGCACTCTCCAGGGGACGTACCAGTCTGAAGAAATTTAGTAAATTGTTAAACTGATAAAGCATGAAGAAACATTTTTAGAGCATGTTCTGGGAACTTCGGAAGCGGCTTAGAGGCGGTGAGTATAAATAGAAAATTCAGTTCAAAGATGTTTTATGAAACAGTATTTAATTTTCGTATCGTATCTGATCTTAACAACAAAAAGCTTACTGTGAGCGGTGTAGCGTTTGTAGATGTTCGTCAGACAGTGGCATTCAGTAGATTTTGCCAAAATCCAATAGAAAAGCGAGCGAGTCTTTAAAGAATAAAAATTCTTTCCACAGTTAAAAAGCATAAACTTATTTTCCATAAAACGATAATCAATTAAAAAAATGTGAAAATTGCAACTCTAGAGCTAACGCTTTTTTGAAGCCCCAATACAATTTTTGCGAAGCAAATTATATAATTTAGAAATACCTGTATGATAGCGCGCGGTCCATGCATGCCATCACAAAGTGATATTCCTAGTAGTGAACTTTTAGGTTGTGCATAATTTTCGGTTCCTGGCGATAATTGCACAATTCTACCTCCTATAATCAGTTTTATCCGATCGGGTGCATATGAAAATTTTAATGAAAGTAAATTACCGGCTGATTCTAAGGCAAAATCCGTTCGTCCAGTCTTGTCGTTATACATTTTCGATATCTCATTTTCGATCGTTTTTTGTATAGTAAACTTGAAGTTACCTAAAATTGCAGCGTCAGCTAGATCAATAAATGATAATGAATTTGTCTCAGTTTACTTTGGCTCTGTTTTAAGTCCTTAACCAAATTGCTAAATTCGCTCAATTGGTGCAACGTATCCAGTCTTGCGTCCACAATGTCGCTTATTCTACCCTAAGACAGAATTTTTGAAGAAAATGTTTCAAATGGGCAAATTTTCAGCTTACGTTTACAGACTCTATATCAATTTGCATCCTGTTCAATTGAACACGCACATGATTTACATACCAAGCGATTACAGCTAAAATACAACGTGGTAGCTGCGAATAAAAAAGAAAGCTCTTTGATTTTACCGACTATTAACACAAGACTGCCGTTCCTGATCCATTTGCGATTATCATTCGGACATGGAGGCCCATCAAAATCCATTGGTTTTTCAAATTTGCGCAATCTTGTTTCAATTTGCTGGTCACAGTAGTTCGCGGTGATCGAATTTCGGGAAATCTCCGACGAATTGTGGAAACTGTTCAAGCTTGCAGTCGAAAATCGCTCACTGGAATTATCGTCCTCTACCAGGTATGTATTTTCTTCATAATGGTCTCCTTGGGCGTTTGAAAAATCGAGCACTTTATATGGAACACACGATCGTTTTGCGTTATTTCGTGCTGAAAGATTATACGCTTTTATATGTATTTTGTTATGAAATTTGTTTTGTTTGATATTTTGTTGCTACATTTTGCAAGTTCTTACCAGAAAACCTTGTATTATAATGATGGTCTGGGGTAGAAAAATGTTCCCTTTCTGAAAAAAAATGTCAAGTAAAACTCCGCAAAATATTTCTATTTTAAAAATACCGGCTCGCAATTGATTACTGTTTGATGTTTTCTTCTGATAAACCATCTTGTCATAATGGCATTTATCTGTGAAATCTAAATAACTTTTCTGCTTGTGGCGAGGCACAAACACTTAACGTCCACAAGTTCTTTTGTGGTGCTCCACCTTTCAGGTTCCCACCTTTCAATGTCGGTTTAATTTCAACTAGTAGATAAGGTAAGCGTATTTATCTATGAAGATGATGTTTTAGATAAATATACTGGGAACTTATTCGTATAGTTTATTAGATATTTTAGCCCGAAGACTCTCTGTTTTCAAGGATATATAAATCTTAAAATACTATGCGCAAGTAAGTTAATCTTAATAATATAAAATATATTATAGCGTGAAAATATTAATATTTCAATATTATTTTGCCAACTTGAATGCGACGCAATAATTACTTTGTTATGTCTACCGAGCTGTCCAATTAAAAATAATTATCTATTTTGAAAGTGGTGGTTTTTAGTGAAACAATTTCATCCTAACTTTTCGCATGCACGAGTAGTTTACATTCTGAACTGATGAGAAAAATGGTGCTGTGCTTGCGAAACATCAGGGAGAAATTCTATTTTATTTTAGGACACCATAAAAACCCGAAAAACTCACGAGCTTCCAGAAATGGCCTAGAAGTCCGATTCTATATTGTTATACAAAAATTAGTTATTCAAATAGTTTAATTTGGAGTTATGGAAAACTCGAGCTCAGTTTTAGACCAATGGTATTGATAGTGCATATCGTTAAAATAATTCTTAAACTACAGCTTTTTCCGCTTTTTCCAAGAGGTAGCAAAAACACTTTCCCAACGTTTCGGCTATATTTAAGCCACAATCAGGGATCTAAAATGAGGACAGAGTGGTTCGAAAGTGAAATCAAATATGAGAAACAAAGTACATACACCGTATATTTGTTTAACAGTAATTTAAAAACTTAAGCAAGAAAACTCAAAAATTAATCTTTAATTTCCTGGAGAGGCACACACTCATAAATCGTCTCCGCCTGATTCACTTTTGAAACAACAAAAAGTGTGGGAAATACTCCATAGGTTCAAATAATATACTTCCATAGGTTCAGCCCGGTGAAACGAATGAAAATTTCATTAAAATTAGATTTCAAAAAATGGAAACCTTTGAGCGATGTATGTATATAAACAATAACGCACAATGTAAATTTATGGATCGATATTATTGAGCAACTTGAAATATTCCATTTCTACACAATTGAATGCGATAATACAAGGCAAGGAAAATATTTATTATTTGATTTGACCCTTGGTGAAATTCTTATTTACCCCCAGCAGAGTTGTTTTTCTTGCGTAAATGCAAATTTTTTTGATTCTACTGCTAACCTTGTCGATATCGTCAGCTCATTTTGCAAGCCTTTCGTCGGCATCATAAATATTTCATTATAAATTCCTTATAAAGGATGTTTTGACTTTTCCTTAAAAGCTAGAAGGAGGCGCGTTGCAACAATACAATACGAAATATTATCATTGCTTATAGAAATAACAATTTCTCAATTGTTGGAATCATTTTCTCATAGTCAATCTAGTTTGGAAGAATAACCACCGACGATACTTTAAGAGAATTAATAAAATCATAGACTTGTTTTGATTATTGGTCCTTAAAATTTCGTTTTTAGTGATTTATAAGACAATGTCTAGCGAGCAGGTAAATAATAATGTAGGTCCATATAAAGGGTGCTTCAGGAGGAAAGGGACATATTTTGGGAATGCGTTCAGAATCCTATTTCTAATGATATTTGCACCATTTAAAATTTGATTGTGGAGTTAGTTCTTCCACGGTAACTACTTTTGTTTCGTAGTTTACTAGTGATTGCATCCACCACCAGAGGCAATTCTCCAGTGGGTTTAAGTCTGATGATTTCGGCGGCCAATTGGCTTAAGCATGAGGGAGGTCCTCCTCTACCAATCCAACGATGACTGGATGGTTATCTCAGAAATTAAGCACTCGGCGAGTAAAATGAGGTCCAGAGCAATTAGCGGAACATCATGCAACACGTTCGTTAAATGGTCATCCCGAAACCGTAAATATCTAAAAATTTATGTTGACAGTTAAAAAATACGTTTAATTCAGAAACGGTTAAGAATGGGATTGCCCTCCCTGAACGCATTCCCAAAATATTTCTATTTTCTCTAGAAAAACCGTGTATTTATAAACAAACTTCTGGACTTTTCTTCTTAAAATTTAATGTATTTAAGACGCAATTGGAGAATCCAAATTTTTTTAAAGATGCCTTTAGATTAAATAATTTGTTTAATATAGTAGCCATTTTCGTATTATTCAAATTTCACATTCTAAAAGCAATTTTAGTTTTATTTTTCACTTTGGATTCCAACACTCGATTTTTATTTTGGTGTGATCGTGTATCAATTGCGCTTCCTTCTGAACTAATTTTGTGGATATGACCTCATCTTTTGTCCTAATTTATATAAATCAATCACAAGCATTAGTTTTATCTTTGTCGTTATGAACCGGCGGTGCTTGTGTGCAAACATACGCTTCTTTTTAATTATAATACGCAAAAAATATTTAAAAGTAGTGATCTCACGTTATTTATTTTTGTCTGATGTGCAGAGTGGACGCGAAATCCTAACTATTTCAAATCTAATTGGACTTACAAGATGAGCTTTCGACATTTATGACAAAAAACTAAGATAAGCAGCAAACGCAAAAAGTGTTATTTATTATTTTATCTAGTTGATATTAAAAATGATTATGAAGAGCGCAAGTAACTTAAAAATGTACGGCGAAAGAAACAGCGATCTTAATTAATTCAAAACATTGAAACGATATAATAAAAAAACAATGTAAGAGTAATGTAATAAGTAATGTAATAAGAGAAAAAATTGATAGATTTAGCTCCCTCTGTATGCATGTAATTTTTCAAAGTGCGATAACAACACAGCATTATTTATTTGATCTTTTGAACTTTAATAAGAGTTCGATTTCTTTATCGGACCCCCTGTCAATAGAATCCACAAGCAATGTTGATATCTTCACGTGATGTATGTAGTTTATCACAGCGACGAACACGTTAATTTGTATGAAATTATTTGCAAACGATTTTTTTTAGAATTATTCATGTTTTGTAAAGGTTTTGCTACTGCTATTTTTGTAGTCTCGTTATCCAAAATGAAATTGACCTATTTTGGTATGCGTTAAACTAAATAACTCACATTTACATACCAGAGAGCGTGTATTTAGATTTATATTTAAAAAAAAATATATATTTTCTTTAATGTTGCTCTAGCTCTTTTAAATAATGAATAAACTCAAAGACACAAAAATAAAAACCGTTAAAAACCGGTTTATTTTGAGAAATTTTGCCTTATAAAATTGTTTAAGATTTTACATATTTTAAATTTAAATTATTATTAATAATATGGATTCCGCTATTGTATGAGAAAGACATTGTTCTTATTAAATGACAAAGACAAAGTAAGGGATAGCAATGGCGAGTTTTGCCAAAATGTCAGAATTGAAGTGTAGGTTATGTAATAGTAAATAAATAGTAAACAAAAGGTAAAATCGTGTGAAGATGCGTAAATAACTTAAATTCTGCTAAAAAACATAATGAATGGGACATTTACTCAATGCTTCAGTCCGAAATCCAAATGTATGATATTGACGATGTAGATCAACAATCTCCAATGGGGGGTCAAATTATGACCCCCCCGAAAAAAGAATTTTTAGCAAATGTAAGTAGAAACGAACAAAATACAAATTTTAATGAGGTGGGGTCAATAGGCTACCAATTAATCGTTGAGTTTTAAATAATATCCGAATGATAAGAGGGGGTCTGCAAGTAACAATTAACGTCTATGTTTTATCACTATTATCAGTGGCTGCCTTGTAAGGCGCATTATAAAAGGTCATCTATATGCGAAGAAATGTTATTTGAGACTCAACTGTTAACGAGCAGTTTTGTGTCAGTATCTGCTCACTTTAGACCGTTTTAGATACCGTTTAAAACCGCCTTATTGTGTGGCTTTCTGTGAAGTTTGTGGGAATCAATTCAGTGCAGAAATATTATTAATATTATATTATTTAAATTTGTTAAAGAGCTTTTACTTGGTTACGCTCGGTTTTTCTTTACCTTGTGTCTTTCTATAAAGTCTTAATAGTTTAAATGATTTCATACCTATATGTCGAAAGAATGACCAACGCCAATAAATTTCGTGTCAACCCCATCTACTACTCAGACTATTCTGATACGGAACTTTGTTAGAAATATTCGAAACACTGGTTCGAATTCGCCCTTAACGCCCTCAAGTTTGTGGCTGAAGATATTTTTATACCTGAGAATTTTTATTAAGTTTATATCGAATTATGGATATCGTTAGTAGTGTAAGTATGGCTAAACCCCTTAAAGTTCACTGATAATTCAGATTATTGAGTTACTTGAATCGAGTTTTACTGATGTATTTCTTTTATTTCAGTATCCCCTAGTAAAAGCCTTCCTTGCTGGTTCATTTTCGGGAACATTTTCAACAGTTCTGTTCCAACCATTGGATTTGGTTAAAACCAGGTTGCAAAACTCACCTGCAACATTTATAAAGTAAGTATTTATACTTAAAATGCAACAAACTTGTGATGTAACTTGTATGGTTTTTTTAAGTGTTTTATTTAATTCCTCTGTAAAGTATCAGCAATAGATTGGTATTTAGCTTTCATTGAATATTGCCAGAAATACCCAGACTTTGCCTGTAGTGAAATTATATACATTTAGAGGTATGAAAAAGTAACAAAAGATAAAACAACATGATTCTTTCTTAATTATTCAGGCAATTAATTTTTAAGTTTGTACACACTTTTTCTTAAAGTTCTTTTATTACAACAAAAAATATTGTGTAAATAAAAATAATTTTTGCTTTCTATTTGTATAATTTATTTTATTTTATTTTAAAACTACTGTTACTGGGAAACTTTAATAATTATTATTTAAATTTAATATTAATTTAATAGTTAAATTATTTAAAGATTAAAAAATTATGGCAATTCAAACTATATTCGAAAAGTGTTTTGTAATGCAAATATGAGGCGACCAAGTTTTGTTCTTTAAATTTTAAATTTTTTCCTGTCCATTATAATATAAAAACAATTCTGTTATAATACACATTTTTTGTTTTTCAATTAGACACAATCGGGAGTTGACGAATTGTTTGTGCAGTAAACTAATATGTTCGCGGGACTGAACTTTGCTAATTTTTGTAAAAAACTTATTTTGCAATAAATTGTGTTCTTATTTTTATCAAAAATCACTCGATTTATGTGGGTTTACAAATAAAGTCTGTATCATGAGAATCATGAAATCACATTCATGATAATATTTACTTCATTCGAAGGTTTTTAGTATTATTTTAATGTTTTTGTGATCCACTTCGGACCTTATCGAGTACATGAATATCGTTTTGTCGGCAGCATTTTCCGAGTTTTGGTTTATAATGATCCATTAATTTTCAAAGTAGAATACGCGATCAGTTCAGATATAACGAGTGGTTAAAACTACAGTAAAATTACAAAAAAACAGATACAAAGGATATTGCTATAAAGGATCGATTGATTTAACGATTTTCAAACTTTTAAAGCAATTTCGGGGCTTAAGTCGCACTTATCTTAGAACCCCGACTTGCGATTTTGCGATTAGCGAAGTGAAAATAATCATAAAAAACCGGTTGTTTAGTCTAATTACATGTTAAATATTTTTATTGAGAAAACATCCTTAATTACGAATGAAAACGCGCAAATTACGTAATCGGAACAACAACAAAAGCATATTTTGATAATCGTACTGCATTCCGTCGCAACACATAACAAAAACAAAAAAGTCTGTCCAATAATTAGCGTTTCGTATCAGTTGCCTGCAGAAACTGCTTATCATTTTTAAAGCTAAGTAGATAGGGTTCAAAGTGAACTCTCTTAATTATCAAGCTAAACATTTCAGGAATTTTGAATGGTATGTACAATTTTTTGACCTAATTTGTTTAATTGTTACAGTGGCCGCCATGGAACTCTCAGTATGCTCAGCATATTTACCAACATTGTACAGCAAGAGCATATTAAAGGTTTATGGAGAGGAATGACTCCAGTAAGTGATAACAATTTTAACTACTATCTATGCTGCAAGCCAACTTCTGAGCAGTCAAGAATTGCTGAGATACAAGACCTATTTTTTTACAGTCTATCACAAGATGTGTGCCAGGAATCGGTTTATACTTTTCGTCATTAGACTACATCAAATCCCACTATCTAGAAGGGAAAACTCCCACTGCCTTGGAGTCCGTAACAATGGGATTCTGTGCCAGATCGATGAGTGGGGCTATTTTGATTCCGATTACTGTAGTGAAAACCAGGTAAATATTGAATATTCTATTAACATTCTAGTCGATTCTAATACTTTTTCGTTGGATTGCAGATTTGAAAGTGGCATGTATGATTATAACAGCATGGTGTCCGCTTTAAAGCACATTTATCGCACGGAAGGCTTACGTGGCATGACGTGCGGGCTGGTTCCTACGTTGTTTAGAGATGCTCCGTTTTCTGGACTCTATCTTATGTTCTACACTCAGACGAAACAGCTGATTCCCAAAGGTAATTTTATTATTTTGTTTTTTAAAATACACCATTCTAAGCCAACTTTACTCATATTCCGAGGGTCTGGTGAGGTCAAAAACCTCAGAATTAAAACCATTTTTTTTTTGCTTTCATGAACATCTTCTGAGTCTGTGATTGTGTGCATTTATAAATATTAACCTTGCCTATCCTGATTCTATTTAAAGAAGTTTATCAGAACAACAGTGTCATGGCAATTACGCACCTTGAACTATAAAAAGGAAAAACTTTTTTATTTATTGCTCACATGCTTCATCGGGGGCATCATTAATTCATCGAACTTATTGATCTTGGAATCAACATACTCACTCATCCATAGTAGGCTTTACTTTTATGAGATATCAGCTACACAGTGTTTACATTTTTGTGTCAATTCCATTCTGTATTGTTTTTCTGTTAGGGTACTGCGTTGTAAGATGCTTAAATCATGCGCGTCAATTCTTGAGAATAGTTGGTGCATGTAAACGAAGCAGGTGAATTGTTTCTCTGTGGCGCTTAGACCCAAAATTAGGCAAAAAATTGTCAAAAAATCAGACCTTTAGAGTTCCTTACCATAAGCAACATGTTCTGATTGAGAAACGTTCAAATTATTTCCAAAATTTTCTTTTTGCAATAAACATAACTAAATCATTTTAAGTTTATGATAATTCTCGTTGCTTTAGATAGAGTGACCTGCTGAAATACTTTGTAAGACACAAATCAAATTTTGTTATAAATTCCGACCGTTGAAAGGAAAGATGTTTACTTACGAATACTTTGTTATTCGATACAGTTTTATTGTTATTGAAAGCGCAAAACATGAGCAGCTTATTTACCGGTTTTCATAGTTCATAATTAATGTGTCCACATAATTAGCGAGTGGTTGTCCACGCATTTTCTAATAGTTAAAACAATTTATCAGTCTTCTGAAATAGGACAGTTTTAGTTGCTTCTATTGGGGTGCGCTATTTTATCTTTTTGAATTAAATTTGAAATATTTAGGTATTTATAAATAAAAAACTTTGTTTGTGTTTTTGCCATTTTTTTAACAGTGTAACTTAAAATCAAACTAGCTCACATTGCAGAATCACTTGAATGCTCATATTGCTTCCACTGACTGTTACTGCAAAGAACGTTTTTTTATCATAGATATCGCCTTTAAATTAAGTTAGTCACATTAATAGCGAATGGCATAGTTTTTAAGTATGGATATTTTTCAGAACTTATCAACTCTCCATACACCTCTCCCATCCACTTTACCTGTGGAATAACAGCAGGTATTTTAGCATCGGTGGTAACTCAGCCAGCTGATGTTCTCAAAACCAAAATGCAACTTTATCCCACCAAATTCAAGGGTCTTTGGTCGGTGATAGTTTACGTACATAATAATCATGGTGTACAAGGCTATTTTAAGGGTATGGTCCCACGAATGTTGCGTCGTACGCTGATGGCCGCCATGGCTTGGACTGTGTATGAGCAGCTTTCGAAGAAATTAGGTTTAAAATAATACAGTACTATTTTATTAAGGGGTATTCTAGGTATGAAACCATGGATTACTGGCTTAAAAGCCGCATTACGGCCTTGTATCAGATTCAGTGTTCGGTCTGATTCACTTTGCAAGATTTTTGTATGCAAATTTTCCACAATGAACCACATCTATCCCATAGAGTTACTAATAGCAGTAAATATATTTTTATTATACATTTATAATGAATAGTACTGTACTATTTTAGATTATATTTTTACCACTTATTCATTTAATGATGGTGAATAGCACAAAATTATAAGATGCAAAACCCATTAAAAATCCTTTTGGTGCTCTTGTAATATAAGATTAGGAAAATGGGACTATATACCGTGTTTTTGCATAATCGTATTAGAGTTTTACATGTTTTTATTCGGGATAATCTGCAAACGATATTGTATGAAAACCATACAGTATTGATTTGTGATATATTTTGTTATTTTATATATTATTTTGCTGTCGGCATTTTGAGATGTGGAGAACAAAATGTTGGGAAAATAAAGCATTTGATTTGTTGAATTTATTGCGTGATTTTCGTCAAATAGACACCTTACTTCCAGTGATTTAGGATTTTTAATACTTTTACCTTTCTTAAAATAATGTTTGCAATTATGTTTTACAAAGTGTCTTTTGGAGTATTTTTACACCCTGGAAATTCTTCAAATTTCTGCTGGTTTTTTTTTTGAGTTTAAGAAAATTTAGAATACACAGCTTTATAAAGAGTATAAAATCGTTGAACTACTTTTAATGTATGAAAAATACACATTTCCAGAAGAAATAATACATACAAGTTGTGTTTTCAGAGTTTATTTTTTCACATTCAATTTGGTTTAATATCTGCTGACTTTACACTTGATCTCCTCATCTCCGAGGATCTTCCTGAAAAAGAGCAGTTTCAATTACGTATTTATAGTTGCAAAGTAATTTTATTTGTCATACATTGTTGGCTCATTTATTTGCCCTTTAAATGGAAAAACGTATTATCCCAAATAGTAAAACATTATGAATAAAAATTAAATATTTAATAAAAGTTTGAATTCCATATTGAATAATGCAATAAAAATTAACTTTAAATTATAATGAACATGAAATGGAATTTTCTGTAGAAATAAAGTTTAATTAATAAAATTTTAAAAACTTAACAGTTTAACGAGTCAACTAGAAATTAAGCTAGTTAACATTGTCATTAAGAAACCGACATGCCAGCCTTGCAAAAACTGCTTGTGTTTATCTTACTTGAAAAATGTGTGTTTATGTAAACATTTTGTCCTATTTTTGTGCAGTTTGACATGATAAACAGACAGGTAGATAAAATAGATCGTCGGAATTTATCGCGAAAGCAAGTTCGTGCGGGGGATTTTCGTCCGAGTTTTAGTGCATGTGGTTTAGAGTGAAGAAAGTGTTTTTAAGTAGGGTAAAGTAGGATTTGCTTAATAAATTGTAAGTGTATTTGTAATAATTCGTACTGTACAATTTTAAAACTAACTGCGTTTTTAATTTTTTTTAAGTAGTAGTCGTACTGGTAAAGGCCTTACCTAGTTCAGGCGCGCTGGTTTTTGGCCGTTTAGCGTTTGCACTGTCGTGCGAGGTTTTTTCTTCGGGTTTATTATTGGCATTATTTTGAGTATTGTTATTTTGATTCACCGTACGACTTCCGCTTTGTGCAAGTTCTTGTTTCATTTCACTTTTGTCTTGTTTAACTTCTTTTTGGCTAATATTACTGGCTGTGTTAGTATTATTATTGCCGAGGTTGTAGCCGCTAATAGTTAAGGCAGGCGTTTCCATTCGAGGAGTTGGAGCTTTTTCCACGGCTGCCGCTCTGAGCGCAGCATCGTCCCGACCCTTGTAGAGCTAAAAACATTTTTTTTTAATTTTGTTTTATTTTCACTGCATTTATAATTTGATTCATCTTTCGGTCTGGGTTTTGTAAACTTTCAGTTAACAGGACTTGTTTACTCACATGACCATCAGTTCCTTTAATTAGTACTTCATTGACTGGGGAAATTTCTGGGCCCCACTGCTCCATAAAATGTCCAACTCTCATCACCCGTTGCTCTGGAGTTGTGATAGTGTGACTTCCACCACAGTATCGATTACATAGATGATCCTTATCCCTAAAATTAGTTTTGGGCATTTTGGGAATTAGAAATTTAGAGTGTTTTTTTAATGTTTAATTCGCTTTTGAGCCAGAGTTAAAAATTTTCAAACTACTTTCTCTGTTACAATTAAGCTACTATTTCTTTGGATATATTGTTTAAGATTACTAGATGGCTTCTGACTTTTAAAAGTTGTTGTGGAATTACACATTTTCTAATAAACGAACTTTTTCACCATTTTCTGGTACCTTTCGATCAGCTTTTCGCAATTTGTTACGTGTTTTCTTCATAAAAGTGCCCATTGATTATCGAGTTCCATAATTAAAAAAAATAATTAAAATTAAAGACAGTAGATTCCTTAAATGTGTAGCGAGTACGCGAAGTAAGAATTTACCGATTCACTTACAAAGTCTTCAATTTTCCGGTTTGTAGAGCGCTTTCAAGCATATTCAAGTTTTTGCCGTTTGCTAATCTAAAATTGGAAACTAGTATATAAGATGTCCACTTAAATTATTGAAATGTTTACGATTTTTGCTGTTTCCTTAACAGATCAAGCTCGTAGGCCAAATAAGGACCTGGACTTTTGGTTGCGGGCGACGCATAAGGTTTAGGAAACATCGTAATGTCCGTTTGTTTCTTCATAACAACGTCGGCATCGCAAGAAATACAGTTAACATTTCTGTTAAATGAAATTTCAGTTAATGGGCGTTGATGAACAAATTAATTCGTTACCGCAGGAGTTTACTCTTGGTTCCAGCAGCCTCATGTTCTTGCTTCAAAGCTGAGATCTTTTTCACCTTGTCTTGAATTCCTTTAAGTTTTGAATTAATAAAGTCCTTCAGCGGCGTCAGTTCCATTTTGTCCAGTTTATTGCCTATTTCTTTCTGCAGATCATTTAGGGATTGCACCCATAGTTCTTCCTAGATGAATTCATGAATGAGTATTCAACCATTTTTAAAATTATTAGGTATATACTTGTTGCCTAAGTTTCTCCAATGTATTTTCCAGTGATTTAGTAATTTCATCATAAGCCGCATCAAATTGTTCATGGGAAACTTTTCTGTTAATCTGGCAGGCATCGGCTTTATCCGCCAGTGCATCTTCTAAATCTTCTCGGTCCGCCTTTACAGTTTTCAGTAATTCAATTTGCTCAATCATCACCTAAAAAAGATTTGTGTCTTATATTGACCGCGGAATGTTGAAGATGTTGATAACAGTTTCTAATAAAACATTTTGATTTTATGTTGATAAATTCATAAAACTTCATTTTACGTCTAGACTATCCTGTCGCCCTTCTCTGTCCGCTGCTAATTTATTGGCGGTTTCGGATAAAGCATTCATATCGTCTTGGAGCTGAAGAAGTTTGTTGTAAACTTCTTGGATATTTTGCCCATTTGCTCCTGCTGAAGCATCTCCACCCGGAAGCCTATTAACATCATGAAAACAATCAATTTGTTAAATTCTACGTTTTTTGCTAGTTTATGTACCCTGAGTTGATTCGTTCCCAAAGTGCGGAAATTTCCTTGTCCAATTGTTCCAAGCGATCATTTACGTTGCTAAATTGTTGATGGTAAACGGTATCTAAAGTGCTCACTTGCTCTTTGAGGTCATTAATCTTGATATCCATCTGGAATTTGTACAATTCAGAAACATGTAAAATGTAGCAATTATTATTTAACTGTTTTGATTATATTTAAACTAATCATTTTATTTGACTGTTTTGGTCCTAAATGTGAAATACGGTAAAACGTTTGAACTTTCCTTCCCGAATTAGCTTGTGGAAAATAAATGAGCCATTCACGGTCTCACGTTACCTGACCGAATTTTACATCTGGCGGCAGATTTTTCTCCTTTTCGTCGGATATTAATGATTCTTTCAGGCTTTCCACTTGTTTCAGCGCCTCTACTCCAATCTGATTTGCCATATTATTAGCCTCCTTCATGCGAATAATCTCGGCTTGAAGCAATGCGATCGCATTTTGTGGCGATAAAGTTGACAAATCAGTGCTATAGAAATGTACGATAAATTCACCAATGAATAATCAAATTATTTTAAATTTTACACTGTTTGTTATGTTGGAATTGCAATATTTGCCCAACAAAAGTTAATAGAAAAACTGTGACTGCATCAATCATTATTTAGAGGAAACGTTCATGTAAGGAGCATAAGTAGTCACCTATCAAATTCTGTATCTCCTCCTTCATTCCGCTCTTCTGAATCATCAGAATCTTTATCTGCGTCCTGTCCAGCCTTTTTCTTTCCTTTTGTTGACTTGGCTGCAGATTGGCTATTACTTCCCTCAAGATTACTTTCGCGTCTTAGCGGACCTATTTTTATTTAGAACAGTTAGAAACACCTTCCAAATTTGCAGATTAGCGATGCAAATGTTTCGACAAATACCTGCAGCTGCAGATTGATTTTCCAGTTGGGTTATCCGTTGTTCCAGTTCTTTCAACTCATTTATCAATTCCTGTATTTGATTACTTCCGCCCACGGTTCCATCAAGTGATCTTCGAAGTTCTTGCGATTTAGTCACCAGATCTTGTGATTGGTCTTTGAATGATAATTTGCGCTCTAGAATAACAAGACTTTTTCAACATCTTTCTTGTTGTTTGCTGTTTGAAGTTGTTCGTTAATGTACCTTGTTTATTTCCAGGTTCTGCCAAGCTGGATTGGCCTTTGGCTAAATCTTCAATCATGCTGGCCATTTTATTCATTGCCACTTCAGTTGCATCCAGTCTCTTCACCAGGGTGAGAATTTGGAACATATCCAGTATTGGGGAGGTGCCACCATCTTTGCTCGTTCTGAGAACATGAGAACATGTAAGTAAATTTTTTCTTGAAAACTTGCTCATTTTCAATGAGTACTAGAACTCCGTTATATTAAATCCGAAATATGGGCCGAAATACAGGAATTCAGAGAAATTAAACAATTTGTTATAAAATATATGTAAATTCGCTTCTTCGTTAAATTATGTTTTAAAAAATCCACCCCATTTAATACCAATATCGACCAGCCTTTTATCTTACGAAATAAAATTGGAATGCTATCCTGAGTCAACATTTTGGGAAACTTTGCTAAAGAAGTGCCGGTTTCTTCATGTGCATTTTGTAATGAAGCAGATAATTCATAGACAAAATATTGTTGCCACAAATAAATATTCAAGAACAATTTTTTCATGCACTGAATTTTCTCAGTAGGAATATGTAATATGTACCTATTTTTTCAAATTCAATATCTCTTAAACCTGAAATAAATAAATTTAAAAAAACACTGAAACTCCCTGTTAAAAGCGTATAATACGTTTGAAACACTCTAGATAGTTTTTTTTGATACACAAAATGTCCCTATTAAATTGTGTGAAAAGCATTATAATTCTTTGTTGCGTACCGTTTTTATTTCCACATGTTGAGTGCCACTAGCAAAGAAATTGGCCCTTTCCATAACGAAATATGTAGAAAACTGGCACCAAATTAAGAAAGTTTATTTCGTGTAGCTGAATTAAAAACTCACCTAATTGCGTCAATAAGTCCAATATTTCCAGGAAGATCAGTAAGCTCTTTGACTTGCTTTTGAAGATCTTTGAGGTCTTTTTGCAATTTACCTAGCTGTTCTTTGGTTAGCGCTATAGTGAATTTAGGAGAGTCGCCTATTTTCTCTTTAGAGGCCGGTTCTACCACCACAATCGTTTGTAGGGATCCTGAACTAGCTAGATAATAGTTAAAACCATATTTATGTTGTTTTATAAAATTAGTTTTTGAGTGAATAGTACCTGAAGCCATTGATCCATCGTCTTCTTTCTTAATTATCGCGATTTCTTTTTCTTTTTGATGTTCGTCTTTTTTCCCTTTCTCCTCTGGATAGGCATAATATTAATATTCAAATAGTTTTGAATTTCACGATGAGAACAGCGTAAGCTGATGTTAATTATTTTTACCTACGACACTGGATCTTTTGCTGCCTTTCTTAGCCTTTTTCTTCCTGCCTTTTCCATCTGGACCAACAGTATATTCAGTCAAAGTAATTATAGGGCCTGGTTTTGCCGTCGAAATGTAATTTTGAAGCCTTTCGCTGTCACTTCCTCGAAATTCTACATTACAATCCCCCAAATCTAACTGATTGACTATCACATGGAGAAGGGAATGCAGCACTGTGAAATTAACTATTCCCACCTACAATTATGTCATTAAACTTGATTATTTTTGCACCAGAAAAAAGCTGAAATAAGTGAAAATCTGGACTATTTGAAAATATATTCCGCATAAGCGAATTTTTACCTCTGGCGAATTTAATGCCAGATCGACCATTTGGGGCAGGGAAATTACTGTGGTGCTTTTTTCCGTCATTGTTCCTGATTTGGTCTCACTGATTTATTCCTTATTATAATTCCAAATATTTCTAGTCGACAAAACTAATAAATTATCATCGATTTTTCAATAAATTTGTCAGCAAATTTTTATTTGAAGCTGACATTCCACCTTTATTGGTGGCACAAAATTGAAGGTGCAATTGTTTATTCTTATAATGTTAGTATTTCCAAAAGTATCGTTATCGTGTCTGGGAAAACTAATCTCCCGGAAATACTACAGTCGAAGGAAAATTTGGTTTTTGAAAATAAATCCACTTGCATTTTTTAACATATTTATTACACACAAACTTTACATTTTATTTTACATGACGCTTTTTTACTCTCAATTTCTGCATGCGTTACTATAGCGCGAATAATGCACCATCAAGATCTAGATTTTTCAATTAGTTCCATCTGGAAGTATTTGAAAACATTTAGTTGTCCCTAAACTATTTACAAATCGCATGCATTGCACAAGTAATGAGCACAATGAAAAATTTCAATTAGTTTAAATCTCATTAGCCCAACACAGATAAAAATGTGGAAACAATGACTATAAATACGAAAAAGAAAAAAAAAACTATACGGTTAATTCGAAAAATCAAAAAATAAAAATACCCATTTAGTAAAAAAATAAGCGTTGGATATTTAAACGATCCGAATTCTACGTTTACTGATATGACTGATTTACTTAACATTTAGAATACTTTCTCATTTGCTACCTTAACTTAAGTATTTTATATCTAATATATGAATACTAAATCACAATCTAATTCTTCTCGGTTATTCAAACACATTTTCAAATCAGGAATTGGTTTTCGACGAAGTATTGATCGGAACTGCGGTAAATCAAATTCCGGCAATCAGGAGACTTTGAACTCTGACACAATAAAAGATTAGAATAAAATATTGAAATAAAAAAATCTATAGTTACGTAATGTTTGAATTTTAAACCATCGCACCGAAATATTTTTATTAGCTCTTAAATGTGCCAGGCATCTGGTTTAGTATGTTTTATTTTTACCGAAATGTGAGTAATCCAATCTAAAACTCTTAATAAACGATCGACGTACTTCTCAGACACGAAATAATATTGGTAATGAATTTCTAGACATTTACTATTAGTGAGTGCGATAGTGTAACCAAAATGTTGATGCATGCTTTAAACTTTGCCCTTTTGCTTTAAAACTTTGAATGGATGAAGATGCACTATTTTTCCTACCAGAAAATCAACATTTAGTTTGAGACAAATGTATGTTTTTTATGGTTATAATGTGGTCAATAAAACAATATACTGACTGCTTTGCTCTGGCCTATAACGTACATTCAATGTTTCAATATACGGGCATAATCTTAAAATTCTGCAATAACATTGCGTACACCATCCTCGTGAACATGAACAACTATCTAATGCAAACATTGTCGATTATGTCACGTATGTTAACTACCTGGTTTAAAGCTCCAAAGCATTAATAGTCGATTACAGATCGGACGTATTTAAATTTGATTTCCTGATGTATATCATTTTGGATGGCTAAAAGCATTGTACGTATTTTAATTATATCCTACTACCCTCAAATCACCTATTTGTTATATATAAATTCTTTGCTCATGGTCCTAACATAATGATTTCCTGCTTATCGTGTAGATAATTAAATTTTTGATGATTTGCCAATAGAAAATTTATTTTAAACTCGAAAACATCTCTTTTGTGGATCAATCGATAGGCAGGAAAATTGACAGATTTATCAATAAAGGATAATCATCACAGTCTTAATATCTCTAACGCTCTAGTGCAATATCGTCAGCGTTATAGACTCACATTTATCATACTCTAGATATACATAACTCTAAAATTATGTACAATAATAGTCTCTGTATAGTTCTGTTTATTTTATATACTATAATAGGCAACAAATAGGTTCAGCTAATATTATCATAAGAAAACAGCACCATGTGAATTTGACTAAATCGTTGGTATGACAAGAAGACGACTTTTTAATGGATAAAAAATATTAATAACATCTTTTAGATTCCCTGCGAGAAAACGTTCAATAACTGTGCCATTCAAGGCAAGTTTCTATTTAAAAAAAAGTTCCTTTGATATGTTTGTTACGATTTACATTATTAATATTTTAAAAAAGATATTCTTACTTTTTGCTATACCGAAAGTTAACCTTAAGTCGCTTAAATAATCAAAATAGAACCAATGTGTATACCACTCATTAAGGGGCAAAAATAATACGTTAGTCGGCTTACGGTCACATACCATACGTATGGACGTCTGTAAACTATAAATTAATGTTATAGTACATCTCGTCATTGAACATCCAAATTGGACAATTTCCATTCGCATTGGTTATCGATTTTTCCTGAAAAATCATCATCAATACTTTAGGCTTTTTGACGAATTTCTGGAAATTCCCAGAGATTAAAGCATAAAATATCCGAGCGCTTCTTGTCATACCAAAACATAGAATTCAATTGCAACCTTAAATACGATCGATCCGAGTAGCTTCAATCCGATCCAACTTACTGCTATGATCTAACGCCGCTAAAACATCATGTTTCCTACGAACATACAATCTGCCCAGCTTCCAAGGGTTTTGCAGCAACAATGGTTTAAAGTCGTCTCGAAGGCACCGCTCCCTCGCCCCAATAATGGCCACCAAACAGAAGTTTTTCAGCATATCTCTATTGTAAATCGGACCCTTTTTTCCCTTGAGAATCACTGCCATGTTGAGCTGTCGAACCACCACGTTCACAACTTCTCTGGCGGTCGTTCTAGGAGTAACGTATACTTTCAAACTGGTTCCAATGACTAGACCCGTTTCGTAGGCAGCATATATTTGGAGAATGTCGTAATTATCTTTGGCATAAGGTTCGGGATCGTCACTAGGAAGGTTGAAAATTTCTGGAAATACCACCGGGCAATTTGGAGATTCTACTGGAGGATAGCCTGGATTGGCCATATCGAAATCGGATATTGTCCTAATGTTTGTCAGACTTTTCGAAAGACTGCTATCCAAACTTCTAAGTGGAGCTACTGTGTGGTCTACTGTGAGGAACATCACATTGTGATCTTCGTTCGTTGCACCTAAAAAATGCTGTTTCACATTCGCCATGCTTTTACTTGGCACCATTTTGGTTTTGGACTTTTTCTGCGGTGTTGAGGTGCTTAGAGGATGAGCCTGATCACTGTCTGAGCTTAAACTATGCAAACTGTCCGCAGTGTTTAGAGTGTTGACGCTCACCATGCTCCCTCCATATGCAGGTCGGACGTTAAGCAAGGGACTAGTATTAACTGAGGAACTTGGTAGATTTGTACATCTCTTGTGAGAGTTTGAGGTATTACTACACGTGGGCACCGAAAACAGAATGTCTTCACTTCTACTAGGGGCAAGTTGCGATGCGTATTCGTTAGCACTGTTAAAGCTTTCGCTATTTTTTCTCGAATCCGCATCACCAGAGGCACTCAAGTAATGCGAAACACTGCCATTCGTCAAGTTCTGCTCACTCTTGCTGTATTCATTCATCAAATTCGTTGGTGGGCAAATTGTCATACCACCGGGTCCAGGCCAGGATCCACGTCCAGGCGTTGATTTTACAGCTTTAGGTGGCGGCAACTGCAGCAAATCTCGCTTCGGACTCGTAACAATACCGACCTCTTTTTCTAAAACATGTCTCATACATATGCATCCAACGTTCTTATCTCTGGCAAATGTGATCACGTCCGCTAACCACCGAACACTTTTCCAAATCGATTCCAACTTATTCTGTAGCTCGTGAAGTTTGGCCAATCGCTCTTTTGCCACTGCTAATTCGATGTTCGAAAACGCTTCTCGATGCAGGTGACTAGCCGTTGCTGTATCCAGTTCCAACAGGCAACTTAGTTTTGAGTACTTTTGGACGATGTTGCTTTGATAGGTGTTGAGGTGGATCATTTCAAAGACCTATAAAGAAAAAACAGTCAATTGAGGGAATTTTAAATTTAGAACATTTTTTGAGTTTGCGAATTCAATAGTATGAAAGTATAACAAACAATAACTACAAAGTATAACTCAATGTCCAAGGTGCAGTGGAAGTGACCAATTAGGTGTTGATATTTTATAAAGTTGTGCGTCTTATCACTTGGATTTTAAATTGAGAAAATATTGCATCATTCAAAAGTTGTAGTCAACGTTCAGTTCTCTAAAAAAATTAATACCGATCATCTCAATTCTCATTGGGAGAACAAACAGTAAACCGTTTAATCCAAGTTTCGTACATATTTGAATTCTATGAGAAGTTCAAGGCTTAATGCTGTTTGGCTTCCACCATAAGCAAATTTTTCAACATTTAAAAAAATATTATTATCTTGAATGTTTCTCTGTTTAGTTCTTCTTTCTTGAAACTTCACTGCGTTAGATTAAGTTTTTTTTCTACAAAAAAACATTTTTCTACAAAGTACACAGTTGGGTGTGGATAGCCTTGCATGGCTATCTCTGAAATCGTAAGAACTACAAAGTCGGTTAAATTAGAAAAAAGTTGCGCAATTAGGAGACCATATACAAGCATTTTCGAAACAGTAGTTGTTTTATTTTTCAGATATTTAGAAAAAATGATTTGTGATTTTTTGGACTTTCGTTTTTATTAATTTTTGAATTTATTTTAAATCATATCAAACCCCAAAAAATACTTTCTCATGACACCTTTTCGAGCTCTACAAGACGGTGTCAATGAAAATGTATTACAAAGTTTCGTTTATTTGAAACCATCAAATTTTGACGGAAGGTGCATTGGGAAGTATTATTTGGTTTTTGATGATTTGAAATAACTTCAAAAATGAATTAAAACGATAATCCGGAAAATAACTTTTTTCCAGATATCTCAAAAATTAAAAGAAAAACTTGCGTTTTGAAAACGTGCTTTTTTATTTTTATTTATATAAGTTTTTCCTAATTTAACCGACTTCCTATCTCTTACGGTTTCGAAGATTCCCATGCACATCCTTATCTTGGACACCCTGTAAAATTTATGTATGCAATAGATTATTTTAATGGCAAACAGTGGAAACCATTTTCCTAAAAGCATAAATATATTGTGACGCCATTACATTTTTTTTATTTTGAAGAAATGCAAGAAATTCACTTTATGAGAGTATCTAAAAACATTCGTAAATGCACTTTGTATTCACTTGTATGTCTGCTTTTTAGTAATGACTTATATTTTTTTACATAATTGTCTTCTGGGTGTTTAATGTAAAAGGAAACCTAAACAATGTTTAAAAGGCAACTGTACTTTAATTCTATACAGAGATTGATGAAAAAGTACATTATAGAACAGTCAAAAATAAAACTTAATAATACGTAATAAAGCAATCGATTGAAAGGTCTAAAAATAAAACCGAAACATACGTAGCCAAGTAATCGATGTGAAAACTCAGACAGCTTGAAAGTTAAAAAAACTGTCTTCAAATACATATGTTAAACAAAAGCTTGTTTCAAGTTTCCACCTTTAAAATCATAAAACGGTTTCAAAAAATCAGTTCAAATGGGAACCGTATATCCGATCGGTCTCGATTAAATCTCAACATAAATTGCGCATTCTGTAAAAAAATTTGTCTGCCCTCGCTTATTAAGCCAACCGTGAAAAAATGCTGCAAAAAACTACATTTTTGTTCTTAAAATGAAAAATATAATTGCTACTGGATGACATTTACATCAAGAACGCTCCGTTAGCTTAATAGCGTGAAAGTTCACTCAAAAACTTTAAATTAGCGACAATAATGCCGATTAAACTAAGACTGGATTTTCGAACTATAGAAGAATTCGACGTTTTTTTATTCCAGCTTTGAATAAATACATTCACTCACGCTATACGCTATACATTAATTTGCTGTATAAATAAAACGATTAAGTCTGAGAATACGGCGCGCTAAAAATTATTAATTTTAAAAATCTATGGGTTGGAATAAGGTGTCGGAAAGTTCGCCAAGTTCTGATACTTTTGACCAAGAAATGCGTTTTCTTATGGATTAAATAAAAAAAATGTAATGAATTTGGACCGAAAAGTCAATTAGTGCATTACCAAGTCAAGCTCAGCGAGCAATAGTTGTGTTGTGTTGGTAAAAAATCAACACATTAACATCGAAGAGACTATTTGTGGAACATAACTTTATGAGAAAAAATTTTTCTTTTGAATTGGTTGTTTCATTTATACTTTTAATACAATGCGTCCAAGATCAGCTCAATATAGAGGCTCTCTATTGAGACGATGGCTCTCGAAGGAGATGAGAATTCGGATAAACAAAATATTGTTTTTTTTTAAGAATTCTGTTGCGTTTGTACTAAACAGTGTTTTTCAATGTTTATATAAACAAATCTCCCAGTGTTAATTACTAATGAGTCATTGAAAAATAATCTCTATGATACTACAAAATACATTATTAGAGTTGGGATTTATAACTTTGAGTTTAGATTCGGTCACAAAAATTAACGGGTAAAATTTTATTTTCATCGTGTTGCAGATCAAAAACTTTATACTTAATTTATTTAATAATGTTAATTAAACTTTAATGCATGTTCGCCATCCTTTCCACTCTCTAGTTAGTGTTAGATAAGCCACTAAACCCGGTTTGCAATGATTTTGCCTTTCAAATTTCGTTCACGTAACATTGTTTACTTATACTGCATCTTGGATTTGAATACAAAATCCTTTCCGAGAGAGTTATTCGTTTATTCACAGGATGCGCTTAGGTAGTGTCGCTTCAGTTCTTTTAAACCAGTTGCTTATTTTCTCTAAAGTTGATATATCAATTTTGTTAAATCTAAAAATATTCTAATATAGTTCCATATTGTATTAAATGCATAGAGACAAGACGGTTTCAGAGTAGTAATTTAATGCATTTTTTCAACGGCAATCAATTAAAAATTAAAATCGAAATTCAGCTTCTAGACATAGCACACGGTAAATATGAAATGTTAAATCAAACTGAAGTAAATCGGAATATTTGATTAAGTTTCTTTTAATATAATACTTACTATAAGACAGTTTAGCATATTTTGGAATACATCTGAATTCAATGCTCGCTTCGTTTTTTGTGAAAATGGCTTTAAAGGTCGTAGTATAAGGTACAACATTTGCATAACCCTCTATGGGTTTTCTTTGAAAAGAAATATAAAATTCTAGCTAGCGAATTTTGTTCTTTTTTATGAAGGAAACGTAGAAAAAAGTACATGTATTCGAAAATATTCATGTGCAATAATGTATTCATGCTTTCGTTTTTAAATAATTGTAAATTTAATAATAATTAATAAAATATTTATACCTGGATTGGGAGACTGATTAAGTCCCCTCGCTGCAAAAGTATCTCCCTCTGTCCAGGCACGGCGCAAGAAAATTCAGCTGGTGGACAGATAACGATAAAGCTAACATCTTCCGTTAACTCGATTACTTCAGCATCATACAGTCGATGGGCGTTAGCTAGTTCATTGCATATATCCATGTAGTTGAAAAGACGCTTAGCGGCGCTTGTAACTAATTCTAGAAAATTTCGCTGCAGTTCCGTGGCATTGTCCAGGACGTCTGGCAGATGCTGTTGCTTGAGATATTCCCATTCTTCACTGAAATTAAAACCGAAAAGGGCTTTATATTTTTTATTCAATTTAGTTTTTTTAAATGGGACGCCCAGTATATTGTAACATTTTTATATTCTATGAAACATTTGGATTAAACCATTCTCTTGAATGGAAAGATCTATTTCGTAACTCCCTTATCTGTATTGACGTATTTATTGCTACGGAAACATTTAAATTCCGTTATTAAGAGATCAAAATTGCACTTTAAGTGCATACGATTGAAAATAAACTTGTACAATTCATTGCGAATGTTTCAACGTAGATTATTGGGTAAACGTTTCCGGAAAAACACCTCGCACACCGATCAAGACAATAAATTCATCTTTAGAAGTTAAGTTACCGATTCCCTTTTTGAGGCTAAATTAATTTAACATCTCCAACAGATGCAAGTAAATGCCCCTTTTCTCACTCTGATTCAATTTAAATCCTATTAGCAACCGTTCTAGCGTTTCAGAGCATGACACAGAAACGCTTCTTAGAGCATGACTCAGATACTTTAGTTTCTACGTTTTAAGTAGAATGGCAGCTTAATTTTTATATTGATAAAATTTACAAAATCGTCGACCAATATAAATAAATGAAATGAAAAATATAATAAAACCTATGAAATCAGTATACTAATCACCCACTTAATAAATTATAATTAAACGTTAGTTCAGCCGGATTACAACCAACAACATTATTTATTTTGTGGAGACAGAATCCAACGCATCCTGTATCTAAAAGTGTTATACGACAAAATGCTTAATTTAGACCAATTGCAATTTACACGCAAACCATAATAATACGTGTGAACCATATTGTGTGTGCACTTTATAATATTTATTGAATCTACTAATTACACATTTTCTAGTATGGATGCGCAGTAAAACTGAATTTATATCTGTTAATCGTGTCTTTTGCTCTCGCTCTATTTCCCATGTATACCTGGTTTCATCCGTATGGCAGAGAAAACACATCATTACTTTTCATTGCCGTCCAGAAGAGAAAAGGAATAAACTACATTCTTAAAAACCATAAATAATCGGAATACAGTGGTTTTGTACAGAAATTTACCATTAAAACAGATAAACAGTTGCACTATATTTAGAAAAAATATTCAAAATAAATACAGTGTTTGACTCGTTTTAATATATCTACAAATTTTTCAGATTGTAGTGTGCAGTCTTCTATCTGCAACTTCATCTTTATTACACACACTACAAAAACATACATTTAATTCAACAAAGAAAAATTTATTCATTTTTTGCTTTATATTAGCAAGGCGTCCAACAGGGTGATTCGAAATTAGTTTGCATAATTTTAACTGCATTTATTTATATTAACTTTTTCCGCAAAGGCGAACTTCACGAGATACCGGTTTTTGTAAGTTAATAATAATTTTGTTTAATAAAATTAAACACGTTAAAAAAATAATGTTCATTTAAATTGTGTTCAGTTTTGTAGCTTCAATTTTTTGTTGTTGTCCCTGTATAAGTTATAAGATATTTCGCTATTATTATTATATTATTTCATACCACTCTGGATAATATTTTTTTTTTCTTGCCGCTTCTAATATTTCAACAAGTTTAACTCTTCTAATCGCATAGTAATCCATTATAAAAGAATAGATAATATTAGAGTTAAAATTGATTCTTTAACTGTTAATATATTTGACTAGTAAACGAAGAACATTAACTAAGCTCAAATACCAAAGGGATTTGCGAGATTATTTCGAAACACCCAATATTTATTCAGATTTATGCTAAGTAGATAATGTAAAGCATCAGATGATTCTCATTAAAGCAACTCGTTCGCAAATGATTGATTATTTTAAGGGATTTATGGGCATTAGCACCAATATATGTACATCGCCTATAGGAGGATACAATGATCAAGCTCAATCCACATAGTTAGTAAAACTGATTATTTCGAAATTATCAACTAAACCATGGCAGACCAGGCAATGTGCAAAAATGTGCATTCTCTCCAGGATGCAGATCAAACAGAGGGAAAACTGATCATTTGCAGGTTCCGAACAAATTAAAACTGCAATGAGAATTAAATTAAAAGTTGATGAGCTTTTCCGAAATCGATTTTAATAAAAGATGAACAAACAATTTGATGGATTTTCAACGCTTTTAAAGATAGCACCGGTTGATCGATCGGTGTAATGCAAAAGGCGCTGTATGCAGGCACTTTTGTATTGAATAACAAAAAAGAAGCGGCATAATAGGATATGGGTATAGATTGGTTTATGGAGATAAATTACATGAGAATGTACCCAGTGATTTATTGTCGATAAAATGTTTGCGACCGGTAATAATTATTGATTTTTTTAAACCGTATTAGAGCAATATATGTATTTTGTACTGTTTTATTATATTTTTTTAAAAATTTCACTATTGTTGACTGTACTGTACGTACTTTATGTTCTAGTATTTTGTTTTGTTTTTTTTACTCGCTTTGTTCGTAAAATTTGTGAATTTTTCCGTGGCAGTAAAGCTTTTTTTTTTTATTTTATTTGATTTTTGAATTGCATCAACACATAATCACGTCGATAATTGAAGCTAAGTTGTATTCTCATCTGCAGAATTCGCGGGGAAACCCTTTGCCTATTAATTACAGCTGGAACATTTTTACAGTTCTGATCACGCTCTAAAAATTCATTTTCAGCGCATTGTAAATTCTTATGACGTCCGGATTTAATCAGATTTCACCGTTCTTTTCTGGACTTTAGCCAGCTGGAAAACCGTCTGTAGAAAAATTCTCCTTTTGAAATTGGCAACCATAAAATGTTCTCTACTTTTAATAATATAGATCGAAAATAGCGTTAAAATTTCAATTTATGTTATAATTTTATGAAGTTCATTTGTGCTATTGATAAAATATGAAGAGATTCCGAAACTAACCCAAGTATTCTTGTAATGTAGAATTGCGCATCTTTATGACTTCAATTTGATTTTTTAAAGATATTTTTACGTGTAATTCGATTTTAAAACATTTTAATCATCGTTTTTATATGGTGTCAAAAGTACCACCGAGCAAAAGACATCACGAAAAGAAAATTAAATGGTGCATTTCATTTCCCCTGACGCCAATAGCAATTTTTCCTCTCAGACACGCCAGTTGCCGACGTGCCTGAAGTTTTGGTGCTTTTGCACATGCAAGACCCGAATTTAATGAACCTTCCAGCTTCCCGAACTTGGCAGCCACACTTTTATCCAAAAATCACTCTATATGAAGTGGAATATTTAAGCTTTGCTACAAATTAAGTTAAACCGACAAATGGGATCTCGCATTTAGCTAAAAGGCTTTGACTGTTACTATATTTTTGTACTTCATGTTTCGGGTTCCCACGGTTTCCCTTTCAGTAAATACGTTTGATAATTAGGACTTTATTTATAATTTATGAAGGAATTTGATGAACTTTTCTCCATTTCATTCATCAATACTTGTCTTGATTCTACGCATATTGCATGTGCTTAAGTACATTTGGATATTAACTTTTTTTAGTGTTTTCGGTTTTTACAAATTTCCCAAAACATATTAAAATTTAAAATTTAATTTTTCTCAAGGTTTCATAGTTTTATTTAGTTTAGTTGATAATAGATGGTACCTTGTATTTAAACGTTTTGGCAAATAATTCAGTGAATTTGCTTGAGTGATTTTTTTTGTTTGGCTAAATGTTTTTAACTACTAAGTACTTGTTTTGATAATTTGTCTGCTTTTAAAAATCCTTCTTAAAACACAGCACATGTGTTTTCAATTTCGTGTTCTATGTCTAGTTCATCAACAGATTTTTTACGAAATAATTACGAAGAATGTTAACGCATGTTGAACGAATGAAGTCAATGAAGTTAATGTATCTGATGGGGGTTTAAAAACATGAAATTTGTTCTTGACATAGTTTGCTGATATATTTTTTGATTCTTGATTGATTATTTATTTGATTCTTTGATTGATTGAGTCTTGGAATGTAATTTAAAAAATCGTTAACTCTAAAAGTATGCAACATTTGTGATACCAAATTAGTTACATTTGCTTCATTTTATTTTGTAGTAGTCTTCTATATTACATTTATTATTTAGTTCAAGTTATACTAACGACATTTCCTAATTCGTTGAAAATATGCAATAGAAGAAATTGGTCGGGACTTAATTTCGTTAGTTTTAAGTGTCGTCCCAGTTAGAAAACCCTGTAAATTCTCCAGATGTCTTGCAAAATCTTCAAAATTGAGTAATTTAATTTATTTATCTTATAACCGCCTTTGACTATTGAATATAGGTACATACTTGAAAATAGGTGAATAACCATTCCAATCGAACCGATGCGCCTTTTACACGCACTATTTGCAGTTAGTTTATCGCATAAATAATAACAATATCTTTTTTATAATTACGGAAGTTTGTTTACATAAAACAACGGTAAAGAGAACTTTCCTCTTCTATATTTTTCGTATCCAGCCTCATATTGACAACAAAAACATTAACAAGTAAGTACAGCAGTCCTTTTTTGTTCGGAGTATAATAAAAAACATTCTCAAATAAAAAATATGGCTTTTGGGTACCTAGTTATTAACTAGTTTGGTAAGCTGGATATTTGGCTGCTTAAGCGGAACACTATGTATTTGCACATTCGAATTCAAAATTCACACAATCACGCAGACTATTGTTCACGCAAAATTATATTTTTCATTTTCAACATGCCGTAGAATTATGGAATGGAAAGTGGGTAGCAAACAGAGGTGTAGCATTAATATCAACAGAGAGAATACTAGTTAAGGAGTCAAAGGAATTTTCAAAAAGGACATAAGCCCTAATTAATAATTAATGTTCCGCTATTGTATTCAGATTATTTTGTTTCACAACATCGGCGCATTGGCTGTTCAGATCAGCTACATGTTTTGCCTTCATGTGATATTCCCCGAAGAAGGTTGCACTTTTTTCAATCTCGCGAACTGATTGCCAATTAATTTTATCAAAAATACTTTTAATAATTTCTCTATAGGAAAAATGCAATTATCTGCAGCAAACCCCGACTAATTCAAACCGCTTCAAATGAGGAACCAATTCATAATAACTTTTTCAAAGTTAATAGTAAATAAAATAGAAAAACTTACGCAGACACATGTGGGTTATCCCGCACTTTACAGTGAGGTAGCATATTGGGAGTCTTTGTCGAAACGACCAAATGAATCATATCCACTGAACTTTGCATTTTCAAGTAGGCCAAATACAAGCCTCTGGTCAGCTTCAAACTGGACACTTGATGGTAATTGATCTGATCCTGAATACTCGCCATCAACACATCCGATATATTCGAGTCATCACTCATAATCGTTTTTTTGAATACTTTGTTCATGGGCAACCATCGCGAATTTAGAACACTAACACTTTTCGGCGATTTCACATAGTTTATTGTACTGATTACGACGGTGCCCTGCGAGTCGCGCAGCGGTTTGTAGTAGAGTTGACCCAAGTCCTGAAGACATAGCGATGATTGCATCTGAAGAGCGGCCAGCAAAAGCTTTGTCCGGAAATGGATCGTTGACGATGTGTGTTCTTCCATAAGGGACTTTAAGGACTTGGTGTCGTCCCATGTGCAGGCCACTCGCATTAGCCAGTAAAGGTCGTTGTTTATGCAACTGGGGAAGGTTTCGTCGACTTCTATCACAGGAAGGAATTCTTCGTTTGTTACAAGGACTTTGTCCTCGTGGTATAAGATACACGCTAGATGAATACCTCTGGAAAAAATTACTTTCGTTAATAATTTCAGAAGTTCGCTTTAAATGCTATTTATAACACAACTACAGAAAACACGACTACAAGGGTTTGAATCATCAAAACATCAATCCAAATAAAAAACGCAGTCCATCCAAACTGGGAACATCAAAGGTTGTTAAAAAAATATTTATAGATTAATATTTACTATTACTCTTGATAAAGTATATGAAGTTTTCTCTCAATCTCTTAAAGCAAGTGCTAAAATGAAGCAAAACTTGTCTGCCATGAAATTAGATAATCATCTAATGATTCAATCACAAAATTGGTGTATTACCCGTTTTGTTAATTTCGTTAAAAATGGTTTGGACAATTCAAAGAAGCAAAATGTCCAACTTTTGCTTAAGCTCTTTGAAAATTAAGAAATTATAAAATTTATTGCAGTAAATAACTAATTTAGTTTCTATAAAAGATCCAACTCTCACAGTAATTGTCCAATATGAAAGGAAACCTTTTTATGGCAACATATGAAAAGAGCTGTAAAAGGTCAAATTTGATGCCAAATTATGGCCACAATAATAAAAAATGCAATTTTCACACAACTTTTGATGTCCATAGTTAATAACGTGAGCGTTTATTTTATTATTACTTGTATTTGCATATTTTGATGGAAGCAACAATGGTTTAGCTTCTACAGAAGTTGCAAATCAATTTAATGTAGGAAAAAGCATTCGCAAGAAAATAGAAAGAAAACGCAGTTGCAAACAGCACATTTTCGAAATTGACGATCGAAAAAAAAAAAAGGTTGCCAATTTCGAAATTTTTATAAACATGACAATGTTGAAAAGTGCAAGATCAAAAAAAAAACGTCAAAAAATATATTTAGAGAAGCTTTAAATTGATATGATTTTTTTGTAGAATTTGCTGAAATTGTAGTAAACTCGATAAATTTTGTTTACTAGAAGTCAATTTTTATTCTTAAAAGGGACTGCACAAGCCAAAAAAAAACATTAGAAAATAATAATGTTTTAGTTTTGCTATTTCTTTTGGAATATATGGTTTTTAATTATTTTATCTATAGTTTTTAAATTATTTGACTTTGAAGGAATACACAAATATATAAATGGTGCGAACGGATGCAGTTTATAGAAAATTCCTCGAAGTGTTGGTTGCATCATCGGTATTATAAATTAAGTTAAAAATCCAAAAAATAAGTTAAAGGCCAAAATCTTTCCACCAAGAAATATTCATTTATGAATTTTCTATCCATCGAAATGGAAGAATTAATTATTAGGCAACTGATTAGCTTTGCCTATTATTTGCTTGTTTTAACGACTTTTTGTATCACAAAATAATCGCAGTTTTATGCAATTTGAAGATTACACATTCGGTTTATTGCTGTGCTGCTAACAGATAAAATAAATAAACCGGCAAAATAACCATTCATTAAAAACGAAAATCACAAAATAAGAATAAATGTCAATACTGATCTGGGACTGGAAATGTAGTAGATTGAATAAAATTGAGTGTTATTTAATTTAATTGAATTAAAAGTTTCATATTAAATTGCAGGCATAAAAGCCAGAGCGCTCGTATTTAAAACATTACGTATTTGTGATTTCTATTCGCATAAATGTATTTTTGACTATAAATTATCACGTATTATTAAAAAATTATTTTAACGTGTTCGCTAGTTAAAAAAATATTTCCAGTCAATATTGAAAATAGAACGACATTTTTTTATGTATTTGGAGAGGTTTTTATAATTTATATACACATATTTTGATTCAGATTTTTATGGCTTTCGTTTTCATTGCTTACTATTATTCTTGAAACATTTCGATTCTTTGTTTCTAGGTTTCTTTATATCCACCTTTAGTATTTTATCCTAATAAGTTCATTATAAAACGTGTTATTTTCGATAATATCAAGTATCCTACAGGAATATGAACATATATGAAAGAAATATGTTCACTTAAAATTTCAATAGAACCAGAATTAGTTCAGAATAGCAAAAATGAAATAATCGTTCAAGAATCAATTGCACAGTGGAAAAGCGATGATATGATAGAACTGTTGACTTATAGTGAGGGTTTTGTCGGAAAATAACCGAAATAATTCTCAACGCGTTAATTTGATTGGCATTAATGAATCAATAAAACGCTAAAAAAACATTACCTTAATTTTTTTGGTTTATGAATTCATAAATAAAAAAAATATTTCTGTTTTAATGGACCGACATGGATTGACATGATTTACAAAATGCTCAAAAATGACACTAATACCTTCTAAAAACTGATTTATTTTCTATTTTAAATAGAGTTTCAAAACGCTCTAAAATAATACAGCATTAAAGCATTAAATTATATCAATTCACGGGTTGTTGCCAATTGAAAAACAGCACCAAATTCCGTTTTAAATATACGATTTTTTTTAATTTTTTTTTAATCCGCATAAATAATACTTATTGAATAATCATTTAGTTTTCTTTCACAAGTTTCAACTGTTTTTACAAATTGTCAACTTCGAGCAATGGTTTAGTATAGGCTACATAAGTAAGTGTTCACGAGTCAGTGTTAAACTGTCTAGTAAACGCATATTTGCTTGGTGGTTTTTCGTACCTTTTTAAGTGTTTTTGGAATTTACTGGCAGCTGTAAATAACTGTTTAATCGTAGTCTTTTTTCGTTGAGCTCTCCTTTGTGTTGGACCAGTTGCCTCCAGCATGTCTGTCGATGGTCGAAATTGTCTCACTTCTTCGATTAACTGGTCGAGATTCTGATTGCTTTCACCAAACCTAAAAAAACACATTTTCAAATTTTCTCGGCTTCAAAATGGAATCTTACCTAGGATCTTTTCGCTCAATTTCCCTCCAAGTGGACGGTACGACTGATGATGGTGTGGATGTTCGAAACATGCCATACCCTTTGAGATTGCCGCAACAAGCTCGAAAGTAGTATCTTCTGCCCTGAGTTAATTCGACGTGACATCTTAGATTGGACATGTCCGTGAGTTCTTCATGTCCGGATATTATCGAAAAATCCGGACGTGTTGACCATTGAACTGACAAATAATTAACACAAATAACAATTAATTTTCAACAACTATTATAAGTGATATCTATTTGGTATTGGTATTTTTGTTCGATGTTATTTTTCTTATTGTTTCATTCAATACAAACTCATCAGAACTCAGTTTGCACTTTAAGCAACATTGCACCGAAATCAGTAATAATGCACTAAAAAATACACATTTTAGAAAAAAATGGATTGAATCATTTCGTTTAAATAGCGTCTGAAGCAAAAATAATGAGCTAAATTTACCATCCGCAATAGAATTTAGATTGAAGAACTTAGCAACTCATTCAGAGCCTGAATTAGCGGTAAACGGTGGCGAGCTTGCTAAATAATAACAACAATTTTTGCCAGGCTCTCTTTTACTTCATTCGCAATATCGTTTCATATGTTGTCTTCATTTTTGCCACTTATTTTTGCTATCTTTGTTGACAGAAGAAAGAAGTCAAACATTAATATTTACGAGCAGAGGACGTGCATGGCAAAGTAGCTACCAGTTTTCCCTTAAAGAGCCTACTTAATGTAGATTTCTGTACATAAAGGCACAAGCGTTGAATACAAACGATATGCTAGAGCGGATAAGTTTGAGAAACTTTCCAAAATGGTTCAAGGTACTTTGGCTTAATGAGGAGTATTGAAAGGGGTAGTTTCAAGGTATTGATATATCGAAAACTTTTGCTAACATTTACGCCTCTAAATGCAATAAAAGCTTACTTTGAACATTAACATTGAGGGCCGGGAACGTGTAACTCGGCATTTTGCATTGATTATTCGCACATAGAGAATTTCATCAATTAAACGCCACTTAATTTATTGGTATAACATGAATAACACCACGCCGCTCGGAACTTCTACTGATATTGTCTATAATTTGATAAATGCCAGTCTAGATAGGATCATATAATAATTGAAAGATAATATTTGTATTTTAATTCTCGGAAATTATCAATTTTAATTGCATCAGTCAATTTGTGAGAACCTGATTATTATCTGCTTATATTATTAGTACGTTTTAATTTTGTCGGTGTCAGCTGTTTTGCGTGCGAGAAAAAGACAACACAGATCATTTTTCAGCAAAAAGTGAATGACTTTAAAGTCTACGAAATGAAGTAAAAGTTTGGCAAAATCCAATTGTTTTTTTGAGTAAATCGCTTCAGGAAAAATATGCAACTAAGAAAACGAAACTCGAAAACCAGCCTTATTCAGCAACTCCAATTCACTCAAAATATTCCAATGCATTTTCCTTAGTGGGCTTGATTGAAACCTTCAAATGCTCGAACTAGATGCACCCACATTGGCGTATTCTCCTCATCACTATGAACCGAAATATATTTTTGAATACTATAAAATTACGTCTAAGATTACTTTAGCATTCGTTTTCTAGCCGTTTAATAGCCTGACCTTTACCTTGATACTATCGTTGGATGGTATCATGTTGAAACGACATTAATAATTGTATATTAGATCCCTTATTTCAAAGTTATGTTCCTAATGGGAGCTAAATAGCTTCAAAGTTAATATTTATTTTGCATAAATTCCGGTTGAAATAGCGTTTTGCCTTCGTGTTTCCCATGTCTTCCTACATTTCATCGGATTTATTGGGTAGTTGCTAACCAACGTTAATATTAGATTAATTCTATTTTACTGGTTATGTAAAGTAGTTCAACTCAGGCACATTTGAATAAAAATCGGGAATATTTATTGGTAGAACTTGTGCTCGAGAGCCAAACTTCTACACAGCTTGCATTGTTTCAATTGAAAACATTTTGACATTTGAAACAAATTGATTTATAATTCGCGAAAATATTTGGTATGGTAGTAAAGACAACCAGAAGTTTTCTTTTAGAGGCTTTAAAGCACTGGGAAAGGGAGGACAAACAATAAAGGTATAGGTGAAAAATAAGGATGGGATGAATAAGTAAGTATAAGGCAATGAAATTAAATTATAGAGAGCCGGAAGGTGTACTGGCGAGAAGTTAAGTTAATGTAGAACACAACGACGTACTTGAAGCAAAAAAGGAAATGAAAAAAATTGAAAGAGCGAGGAAAGAACAACAAAGGGCTTAAGATGGAGAAAGTCAGAAAAGCGATGCAAACTGATAAAAGTAAAGAAAATCACCCAAAGGGATAGATCGAGAAATTAAAGCGCAAGAGAGGAACTAAAAGTGGATTTTGTGCTGAGAACAATACGCTGGAAGATGGCTTGGTTATTTGTGCAAAAAGGACGAAGGGACAGCAGTGGAAAGGATTTGTCAGGCAAAGGTAGTAGAAAAACGTGGAAAAGGAACAGCGGGCATTTTTGAAGAGAGAAAACCACGTGGAAAATAGCTACTACTAACACTAGAAACAAAAAAGCAGAGAGAAAACTATAAAACACCGATAAAATTAGATAAATATATGTTCTAAAGTACGCAAATGAAATGAGAGGTTTCCAAATGTTTTAAAGTGTTTTTTATTGCGCAAATGGAGTTGAGCTTACCTAAAAATTTGGTAGTTATCGGCGATTCTTGACAAGCTGGCTCAGCTAATCGTACAGTAACTGCATTTTTGGCAGTTATATCCACCGCTACCAAAGAGGGAACATCTGGAGGTCTAGCTTGGGTAAAACCCAAAACCAGTCTCTTTAAAATTTTTGCTTTTCTACCCCATGCCACTGCTTGCTTCTCGGTATCACCTCCTGCACATCCTAAGGGAAAAACACACATTTATTTTTCAGTAAATTTTTACAATTGATAATTTTTTATTTATCTATATGTATATACTTTTTATGTATGAGAGGGCTGAGATTTTTGAGCTTGTAGTGTGCAACTTGCCAACAACAAAAATTTCATTTGAATGACTAAAATGAACTTGTTCAGTGCTTAAATATACCAAGACGACGACTTACATAGTTTATGTTTACAGTTATTCATAATTCCTAGATATTTTGCTTGAATAGTTGATTTGACGCAATTTTCTTCACTTTAGTCAGACATCCGTAAACACAAAAATTCCTGTGTTATTTTCCGCATATTTCTTCACTCATTATTACGCGCGCTCCGAAAGCTAGAATTCGATTGTTTATCTATCTGGAGCTGCTGCTATGAGTAATAATCCTTTCAATTTTCATAAATTTTCCAATAACACTGGGTTAAAGTATTGTATTTGAAAGGATTGTAATTGTGTGCATTAAACTTAGCTTTGCTAGTGTTCAATCAGTGATAAGCAATAAACTGCCGAAGGACAAGTCTCAAGACCTGAAATAATAAATTTTGTTACAACTGTTGGAATTATTCCATACATTATTGAGATATAAATAAAAATATAAAATTTGCGCCTATCTTTTATATTTCGCCTTTTAATGATTATTTTGATATTTTAAAAGATTTGTGAGATGTAAGTGGGGAAATGTAAATTAAAAATATAGGCCTCGAAACCCTCACTGGAAGTGGATATTTTCGACATTGAACTGTTATGCTGTGAAACGTTTATTTTAATTCTAAAAGTAACTAATTCGTGAAATACGGGTTTTGAGAAATACTATCAAAAAATCGCTTAAAGGGTTGGGAATTGTATATAAAATATAGTTTTCAAGACGAGCTATAAAGCGGTTTTTAGCTTAAATCGGACCTAAAGAAAATCCACCCGGTTCGGACCAAACCCAGGTTTGTGGAAAGTTTTGGCTTAATATTTTGCAAAATTCTCTTAAAACTATGCCCATTAGTTTCCATCACATGCATACTTTAAACAGAAAACGTAATAATTTTACAGATAAAATTATGCTTTTGTTTATTTTGAGTCGCTTGATAATGGTTTGGTATCGATTGGATGTTCCTCTACTGACATCTGGAAATTTTATTAAATGTTGTACAGTTTTAAAATTCACTTTAGCTTCATTACAGTGGTTTATCTTTTTCTTGTCGTTCCAATTTTCCAATAACGCCTTTTACGCTTAACCATCCAAATAAATCAATCCCAACTCATTTCGTGTCGTGCTTTGCAAAGTAACACCTTTATTCAGAGTTAAAGCCACAGAAAAACAACCGAAAAATTGCTATTATTTTATTTATGCAAATACGCGCTAATCGGATTTGGATGAAATTTGCACGTGGGGATTTGAAAAGGGGGAATAAGCAAGCAAGGGAACTTTAATCCATGTTGGAGATCTAAAATAGGCTTTTTGGGGGCTCCAGTCGCATGAAAACTCCTGTAAATATTTTCTCGCATAATTTATTTAACATAATGTTTGTACGCCTAATGCTCCATTTATTCACACTTTAAAGGCTGTTGTGTTATTGTTTTAAACTGTTGCTTCGCTAGACAAAAAAACATTGAAAAACCGTTTTAAAGTCTAATAAAATGTGATTTTAAAGTAAAAATTAACTAATTTGATTTAAAAAATTTCAAACAAATATTTGTGAATATCACAGTAGGAATAATTTTATATTTTTATTTTTATAGACGTATGCAGTTTTATTGCATTTTTTGCTATGAAGTTTCATGCATTTTATAAAACGTTGCACTTTTCTTCATTGATTATGTCAAGTATCATCAAATTCATCAATTTAATGAATTCCATAGCCACCTCACAAAATGTAACAACTTTTTTAATATAATTAATAACTAATAATTTATAATTTGCAAACAGTTGATTTCACAGCTTAAAGTGTAAATGCAAATTTGTAATTTTGTAAATTGTGTATCTAATGACGTATTAATATACAGGTACATCCATTTGAAAAACAAAAGTTATATTGCGTTAAAAAGTTTTAGATTGAACTCCACATTGTTAACACCCTGCATGCCATGAGCTAATGAAAAATGGAAGTTGAAAATTTTGCAAAAGTTATTAGACACTCGAGTCAGGGAATTGAAAAATGTTCATTAAAATCGCAGTAGATTCTGATTTTTCCTGCTATTTAAACGCGAGTCGATAGTCTACAAATGAACAATTTCAGCCTAAAACGCGCTTTCTTTAAAAAATGGGTAACTACAGACCTGGGGCAAGTACGAACTTGAAAGTTTCGCAAGATATACAAGACAGCTAAATCTCCGAATTTGGAAATTTTCATTAACATCGCAATGGATCCAAATTTTTTCCTATTGTTTAAACACGAGTCTGAAAATGGTTGTTTCCAGTCAAAGCACACTCTCCCTTAAAAAATCATCTGCACGAATATCGGACAAGAACGTAGCTGAACATTTTGCGAGATTTCAGTATTAGCCACTCCAGTACCATACAAATATACCATACAAATGCACAATTTCAGCCTAAAACGCACTTTCTTTAAAAAATTGGTAATTACAGATCTGGGACAAGTACGAACTTGAAAGTTTCGCAGGATATACAAGACAGTTGAATCTCGGGATAGGAAAATTTTCATTGAAATCGCACTGGATCCTAATATTTTCCTGTTGTTTAAACACGAGTCTAAAAATTACTGTTTTCAGCCAAAATGCACTCTCCTTTAAAAAATCATATGTACGAATATCGGGCAAGAAGGCAGTTGAAAATTTTGCAAGATCTATTAGATCATTATATAGATTCATCAGATTCAACTAGTTATTTCAAATAGTGCCCTAAAGCAACAAATAATCTTCATCCAAAATCTGTCCTATCGTTTAAAGATAACTTTCATTAATTAAACATTGAAATTAACGAATTTTAAGTAAGTTATCATCTTAAAACATTATCGTTTCCACCGAGTAAGTACCTGAATAAATATCTATTGATGCTAACGGAAGAACTAGTCACTTAACTATCACATCTCCAACACTTTTCCCGTAAATATTTGTACATTTGCATCGAAAAATATACAAAATCCGAACGGTTGTGCGCCCCTTTGTCGAGCATTTTACAGAAAACTCAATGCATGCTGCACTTTATCACGCACTGAAATTTCGAAGCTAAGTAATGGTGAATTGAGGGTAAATTGCTTTTACAATTCATAAAAAAACTCGTTTGACGACGATCTTGAATAAGCAAAAGTCCGGTATCGAGTAAATCAATATTTTGTAATTGTTTGCATTTAGTAACTGTCCAAGATATTCCTCGTGGGCATGAAGTATAGTTAAGTGTACCCACGTTGCATTTTGTGCGAGATATCCAATTTCAATGTCATTTGCCGTTAGCTACAGGGTGGAAAATAACACTAATCAAGTTTTGCATGGAATTTCTACTAAAATCCAAACTTGCGTTCAAAAGAACTAATGGATATAGTTAGTCAAACTAACGCGATAAAGGATACCACTGAAAATGTTGCTCCCGTGTACGTAACGCCCTGTATAACTAAAACTTCTCTCAGCGTCTGCTCTTTGATTTTGGATTTTTAGCTGATTTTTTTATGGGACACATTACAAAATGATTCTCACCTGTTACCGATGATGAAGAACCGGCACTCAACATACTCGAGAAAGACGCTCTTGTACTAAGTCCGAGTAGAGGTTCCTCCAGAAAACCTCCCACTTCTTGAAGCCTCATCTCAGCTTCACACAGAATTTGCCTCAAGTGGGAACCAAGCTTTTCCGCTGATGTAACTGGAAGGTAAGCTGAATTTTACTTAAAGTAATAATGTTAATAATTTGTTGAAAAATCCTGCAAATCATACCAGCATTGTAAATTTTATATTTCCAGTAAGTCACTTTTATTAGAATATGATGAATATGAGGAAGTGTTATAAACTTTAATAATTAGTGATTTGCCTATTTTTGGTTGGTTCTTTGTTTATATTATACACATTTTATGCTGACTAAACAATAACATAATCGCAAAGAGGCAACCAATTGTATTTCACTAGTAATGAAGTTGTACATCCTATACATATGTTGTAGTAATTGTGTAATTTAATTCAAAGAAAAAAACCTGAAATTCAGAACACCCTGAATTAATTCGATTAAAGATTCTATTATTTTCATTGCCACTATTCAAATGGTTTTGCTACTACATTTGTATTAATTATACGATTGGCAGCAGCGGGAACCATAATCCACTCGCTGTTTTGTTTCGAAAGCGCTTAATTTATGCCACAGTTTTCCTTTGCCGGTAGGTTTCAATTTGATTTTATTAAAATGTTAATTGAACGTGGCTATGAGTAAATACAGAGCAAAGTGAA